AGCATTGCCCTCAGCCAGTCACAGATAGAAGTTACCTTCCCTTGAGTGATCCATTTCCCTTTCTCCTGTAAGTTCCCTCCTCCAGGTCTCCGCAGCGCTGTTCTTGGGTTGCTTCTCTTGGGTTTGTCCAAGGCTGACCGTCCGAGAAGTAGCAGTCGGGATTTGAACCTATGGCCATTGGGTTGCAAGCCCAACTTTGAAGCAAAACCCAGTTCTGCTGCCCCACACCAGCGCCCACATCATTGTAATGGGGTAGGAGCATGTAGAGGCCATAGGAAAAAGCCATTCCCTTAATTTCAGTGCCATCCTACAGGATTGTTGAGTGAGTTCAGTGACATAACTTGTAACTCATAAAGTATCAAGTATAGTGTCTGATGCGTAGTTAAGTTTCAATGAATGGACACTATTATTAATGACAAAGGTAGTGGCATTAATTCTCTCTCCTACGTTGCTGCTTGTTTGAGGTTGGGAATTCTGACTTTCTTAACTAGGAGTCTACATGAGAAATAAGTAGAATACAAATATGTTGAGCCATACCTGTCTCTAGTATGTTTCTCTTACAGAAGTAATTCATGGAAATGGCATAGTGACATATTAAAAATAAGGGTAAGAATATCTTTAATCACTGTCTGAAATCTGCACATTATCTTGAAATTCATAGTCCACCATGATGAACTTCAGAATTGTGTCCCCACTCAAGGAGTGACCAAAAGGCACCAGTACCAAGTGGCCTGGCCAAAATGCCACCTCGAGCTGAATGCTGGGGACAGTCATACCATGAGTTTTAAATCCCTAGACCTGAAATTGCAGGTGCTTTCTTCTAATTAGCATCCTGCTTCTCAATCCTCTTTGTACGTTAGAATCACCCAAGAGCTTAATAAAATGGCGCTGCCCAGTCCCCTCTCCCAGTCAGTCTCTGGTTTAATTGGTCTAGTTGGGTCCTGTATATCAGGGTCTTTTGTTGTCGTTGTTTTGTTTTTTATAAGACTTTATATTTTTGAGAGCAGTTTTAGGTTCCCAGCGATAGTAGCAAGAGGTGTAGAGGTTTCCTATTTACTCCCAAATGGGCACAGCCTCCCCCAATCATCAACATCTCCCACCAAGAGGGTATTCTCATTATAGTTCCTGAACCTATAGGCACACGTCATCATCCCACAGTTGACCTTAGAGCTCACTGTTAGTGTTGTGTTTATTATGGGTTTGGTCATCAACATCTCCCACCAAGAGGGTATTCTCATTATAGTTCCTGAACCTATAGGCACACGTCATCATCCCACAGTTGACCTTAGAGCTCACTGTTAGTGTTGTGTTATGGGTTTGGACAAATGTGTAAGGACCTGGACCCACCATCATAGTATCCCATGGAATATTTTCACTGCCTTACATCAGTATTTTATAAAATCTTCCCAGGCGATTCTAATGCGCAGCCCAGTTGAAGACCAGGGAAGTTCCAGGACCTTTACTCCTACTCCATTCCTCCAGCCTTAGGTGCAGTCTGGGTTCAGTACCAGCATTCTTACCATAGCTTTTTTTTTTAGGTGTGATTTTTATTTATTCTAAAAGAGAGAGAGAGAGAGAGAGAGATTCCTTTAGCACCTTTATTCTGAAGAGCTCTTAATTGCTGTGCTTAGAACCTCTAAACACTGAACATTTGTCAAGCATCAAAATAGCTATCAAAATAAAAAGAGGGACCTGGATCTCAGGAGGCGAGGAGAGCTGTCTGATGGTCTCCCATGAGTGCTGGTGGGTGGGGGGCACATATCCCCTTGATTCTGGGCCTCAATAATGAGTGACCTAGAAACGCTTTTTTTTGTTTTTTTGTTTTTTTTTTTTTTTGAATAAGCAATCAGCTTTTATACCTACAGCAATGCACTTTAAAAAGTAAATACTGCTGGATCCTGTCCTCCATTTGTTGTCAAGTTTTGGGGCCACTTCCCACCCCAACATCAAGCACCCCCTATAATCGTTCTTCTAGAAGGGGCTGTATTCAGGCGCAAAGAGCAATGGCCTCTGCTATCGTCGCTGACCCAGGTCAGGGGGTAACTTAGTGACATGTGGGTGTCTCCTGATTACTAAAGGACCGGGGACCCCGTGTGTGGATCATCCCTCCCTCCTTGGGGGGTTTGGGTCTCCTTCTCTAGCCTACTCAACACAGAGAAGTGAGGTATATAGGAAGTAGCAAAGGCAGCCCAAGGTCATGCCAAGCAACGCATTTCATTTCAGATTAAAAAGAAAAAGTGTGCATGTGTGTGGGTTTTGGCCAGATTTTAGATAGAAAATAGGCTAGTGAGAGCTCTAGAACTAGATTAAAATTCTTTGCCCAAAGTGCTGTCAAAAAATTTGTTTCTGGATTTCAATCCTTGTTGCCCATTTTTTTCTGTGAACAATCAACATTTGTTTTAATGTGAATAATAGCATGGAATACTTTCAGCCCCCCCGAGTTTTACTATTTCAAACAACTGTTCTAGGCCTGCGAGGCATGTGGTATTTATTTACACTGTTGCATGGGTTGTGATGATAGAAATGACAACGACGGTAGCCATGGTTGACATTTATTGAGCCCTTGTAATGTGCCAGGCGCTGTGCCAAGGGTGATATCCGGCTGATCTCATTTAACCCTCACAAGAACTCTTTGAAGTAGGTTGAGAATTATCTCCATTTCACAGATGAGGAGACTGAGGCTCCCTAAGTGGCAGAGTCAGATTTTGAACAGAGCAGCATGCCTCTGGGTGTCCACTGCAGCGTGGATGTAGGGAGCCGTCACTGGGGTACAGCCAGCCGGCCAGCCCTGCCGTGCCAGCCCTTGCCACTGGGCCAGGGAGAGAGGGCTAAGTTGTTGCAGGGAACAGACCTCATGTAGGCCAGGAAGTAGTTTGGGGCATCAGAAAGCAGAATTTCACTCTCTGGTAAGAAGTGAGTGCTCACCGATGACTGGCTCTCGCAACCCTGTTACCAAGGCAACAAAGATGGGCACGTGGGGCGGTGGTGGGCTCTGTCACATGTCCCTCTGAGCCCAAGAACCTCTGCTGGCTATTCCTCTCCCCTTACCCTTCACCCACCCCAGGGTTCATACCCAGGGTGCCAATCCCTGAGGGCAGCTGCCCTGAGTGAGAGGTGTCCTCTCCACCCATAACTCACTGCTTCTCGGGACGAGGCAGAGTGTGTGAGTGACATATACATGTTTGGGTAAGTGCCTCCTTTCTGTGGAGAGGGCCTCCTTCTAGCTCCCTCTCGGGAGGCCATGCTGCATTCTTTTCATGATGCCATCCTGGGCACTCTGTCAGGTGCGCCTGTCAGTCCTGACCTCCAGCTCTCCGTAGAGACCAGCAGAGATCATTTGCAACTTGGCAGCTTGCCTCATAGAATGATAGAGGATAAAGAGTTAAGACCCAGCTAGCTTCAGGCCGGAGCCCTGTGTGTAGTCCGTGCTTAGGAAGCGTACCAGTCTCTTATTGCTGCTGTAACACGTTGCCTCAAATAAGTGGCTTAAAACAGCATGAACTATATCACCTTGGAGTTTTGGATGCCAGGAATCCAAGATGGGTTTTTCTGGGCTGAAACCAGGATGTAGACAGGGCTGTGCTCTGTGGAGCCTCTAGGAGAGAATCGGGTTTCCTTACCTTTCCCAGCTTCTAGAGGCTGCCCAGATTCTTTGGTTCCGGGCCCCTTCCTCCGCCTTCAAAGCTAGCAGCGTGGCATCTTTGACTCTCTCTCTCTCTCTCTGACCCTGACCTGACTTCTGCTGTCACACTGCCTTCCCTCCTCTACTTTTGTCTCTGAAGGACCCTTGTGATAACATCACATCTGCCCAGAAATCCAAGATAATCTCCCCATCTCGGAACTCTTACCTTAGCCCCTCTGCAAAGTCCCTTTTGAGTCCCTTGACTCAATGCCAAGTAATGGATTCACAGGTTCCGGGGATCAGGACACAGACAAGTTGGGGGTGGGGGACTTACTTGGCTCACCATAATAAGCATTAGCTGGGGTTTTTGGTCTTTTTTTTTTTTTTTTTTTTAATTTTTTATTTGAGAGAGAGCAGAACGAGCGAGAACACAAGTTGGGAGAGGGAGAAGCAGACTCCCTGCAGAGCAGGGAGCCTGATGTGGGGCTCTATCCCAGGACCCTAAGATCATGATGTGAGCTGAAGGCAGACACTTAACGGACTGAGCCACCCAGCCACCTGCTTTAGCTGTTTTTATAGAACGGAACAGAAGCAAATTGGCTAGCTTGGGGCTAGAAGAACCAGTAATTTGATCAGTATTGTTACTGATGATGTTTGTTAGGCACTTGCTGTGTAAGCTCACTCTTGCCTCAGGGCCTTTGCATCTTAGTCCCCTTCCCTGGAGCATGTTTCCTTCCAGAACTTGGATGGCTAGCACCTTCTTATCCTTCAGGTCCCAGCTCAGATGTCACCACTCAGAGAGGCCCTTCCTGGTGACCCTTGCTTAGACCAAGTCCCTGACCCATTCCCTTCTCTCACACCATAGCCCCCTGCGTCCTTCTTCGGCATCATCTGTAACTTTTTGTTTGTGGGTTACCCGATGCATGCTGTCTGCGCTCTGCTCCGGGAGTGCCGGGGCCCTGGCTGTCTTGTTCATAGCTGTTCTAGTAGCTGGAACAGAGCAGGGGCACAGTGCGTATCTGTTCTGTGAGTAGGTGAAAGAAGCCAGGTAGGCACAACGCCGTGCATTTAATGCTCACGCTCCCCTCTGTGAGAGGTCCCTTCATTGTCCCATCTCACAGATACGGCAACCAGGGCCTGGAGAGGTTGAAGCGTTGCCTCAGGTCCACGGCGACTGAGTTTATACCCAGGTCAGCCAGCGTTCTTGCTTCCGTCCGCCTCTCTGCCTCGTGGCCTTGAGGTCATCAGAAGCTTCTCGAACCAGCTCTGTGGACGGCTGCAGAACCCTGGCAGGTCCTTTATCTCTGCTGCAGGTTCTGAAAGCAGCTTTTCCGAACCACCGGCTGGCCGCCTTGACGCTGGCTTTCTTCTTATCTAGGTCTGTCGTGTCAAATCTGGACTCCCCTGCCAAGACTAGCTCCATGGAAAAGAAACTTCTCATCAAAAGCAAAGAGCTGCAAGACTCCCAGGACAAGTGTCACAAGGTATTTATTTCCGCAGCCGGCCTCCCTCCTTGCTCCAGGATCCTCCCGTCAATGTACACCAAGGGAGCCGCCCAGGGCCGCTGCTGGCACTGAGCCACCTGATCCATACCGAGCGGGCGAGGCGCTACCTCCCTCGCTGAAGTCTCGCCTCCAGCAGCTCAGAGGGAGATGAATTCAGGCCTTGACGTTGCCGTCAATCCTTTAAATCTTAACCAGAGGAGGCCCTGGATTTAGAACGGCCCGTTCCTCAGCATGACCCAGCCCGATGTCTGCTTCTTCCGGCAGGTGGCGTGGGTCCTCACCTGTGGCCGCGATGCCTCCCATCTGCTTTGAGTGATGCGAAGTCTCTCTTCTTAGTCCTTTAAGCCTCCTGCTTATGTAACTGCGGCCACTGTGTTGACTATGCTCAACGTCTCTTAACGCTCACTGTTCCTGCCCCAGGGCAGCTCTCTGGAAGCTCCTAAAACCCACTCCTTGCCTGGGACTCCTCTAAGAGTGCAGACGAATACATATCTCCTTGCCCTGTCCGGGATTGGTCCTCTAGATCTTTGCAAGGAGATGGGGGGGGATCAAGATGGATTTGGGATAAAATTAAAGTGACGCGTGCCAAAAACCCAACCAAACCCAAAAAGCATACAGGTGAAAAATGGTGATTGTGGCTTCCTTGCTCACTGGGCTAGAGAAGTGACCAAGTGTGAACCGAGTCTTGGATGAGAGGAGTGACTTAGCATTGGTGACTGTCCTTACGAAGAACTGTGCACCCCCCTGGGCGAAGAAGCAATGGTATTTCCTTCCCAACCTTTGGCGCATTAGTGCCAGCCCAAGCCACCAGGTGGTTTCGGAGGCTGCTTGAGATTTGATTGCTCCTAACGGACCTCCACGGGCCCTTTTAACCTGTCGATGTGTCTGTTTCAGATGGAGCAGGAAATGACCCGGTTACATCGGAGAGTGTCAGAGGTGGAGGCTGTTCTTAGTCAGAAGGAGGTGGAGCTGAAGGCCTCTGAGACTCAGAGATCCCTCCTGGAGCAGGACCTTGCCACCTACATCACAGAATGCAGTGTGAGCCTTCCCCAAAGCCCCCTTTCCTTGGAGGCGGCCTTGCTGTTGTGTGTGTCTCATCCTGTTTCGTGACGGCTTCATGAGGCACATCACAGCCGATGGCAGAGTGTAGAGACAGAGAGAGAGAGAGGGAGGGAGTGTTCCAAGGCAAGCTGTGTGATTGGCAGGTTAGCCAGGACCAGGCGGGAGGTCCCAGAACAGTGAGGACTGGGCTCCAGCAGTCCAGGTAGGCTGCGGAGCCTGGACGCGGACCTCAACGTCACTGCGGTGAGCGGCCAAGGGGCCGAGCGCCTCTCATCCCAGCCTCTCTGGCCTGTATCCCGTCCACCACCCGCAGCCTCAAGAGCCCGACTCCTAAATGAGCACAGGAACATGTATTTTGAATCTGCCTGAGATCTCTTCCATTGCTTAGAACCAGTGCAGCAACGAGAAAACTCAGCCTGTAAAAAACAAAAGGAAAAAAAAAAACAAACCCAAAAAACAAAAACCTAGGCCCTCGCTCATTATTTACCATATGACTTTTTTTGGTTTTGTTTTGTTTTGTTTTTTCCTTTCCCTCACAAGAGTAGACTGTCTTCTCCATTGTCTCGTTAAATTTTTCATTCAGGTGTTTTTTTAATGTGGCCAATTAAACAGTCTTAAGAAGTTGAATCACACATTTTTCCAGTTTTTTTCACAAGGGAGAGGAAATCTATAGAACGTGGCTGATTAAGAATAACTGCTATGTTTCCATTCCAGATTTGGCTGCTTTCAGTGGTGGGTGAAGTTATTCAGATATGTGTTTCAGATCTGTATTTCAGTGCCACTGAAGCGTTGAGGGAACCTTATGGATGAAAGGTGTCCAGAAAACGTAAGCCAGGAGGTGGAATGAGACTCCTTGGGGTCTTAAATGGCAATTAGGCGAGAAGGAAGTCATTGCTGCTTTGAAAGAGGAATCTATACCGGGGAGTCCTCTAATCCCCGATATTCCAGAAAAGTCTTCGTAGCCCTCCCAGTGGTGGTTTAGCGAAAGGCTAAGGGATCCTGCTGGTTTTCAGTCCCAGGCACACAAGTAAGTATCTGCCAGGAGAGGTAGACAGAGGGAGGAGGCAGGTTGTGATGCTGGTTTGCAGTTTCAGGCCGGACCCGAGAGAACACAAAAGTTGAGATGATGTTTCTTGAACCCGAGGGGTTTTACAGGATGAAAAAAGCCGGAGCCAGCAACCAACTGGAAGTTGTCAACTTTGCTCCGTCACCTGAAAGCGTCTTGGTGTCTGCGGAGCAGCTTGCAAGCTCCCTTAATGAATCTTTTCAAACCGAGCAGGAACCACAGGGCACCCCTATTAAAATTTTTGCTTTCCTCAGAGCTTAAAGCGAAGTTTGGAGCAAGCACGGATGGAGGTGTCCCAGGAGGATGACAAAGCACTGCAGCTTCTCCATGATATCCGAGAGCAGAGCCGGAAGCTCCAGGAAATCAAAGAGCAGGTATGATGGCTGCTGGGCCACGGGGCGGCACCTCGGACCTCTAATTCCAGGGGAGGTGTGTTTCGGGAGGGGCAGGGGGAGGGAAGGAGGGTGGGGGCGGAGAGAGAGCTATGTAGGTCATTTGGAAACTGTGGATGCTCCACGGTTTATATAAATGGTGGAGCGCTTGTTCTAGCTCCTTTTGAAGTCTGCAGCCCATCATGGCCACTCTTTTCAATTAAAGGTGTAGCTTTAGAACAAAAGTGGCCAAACTGTGGCCCATGGGGCGAATCTGGCTCACCCCCTGTTTTCCATGGCCACGAGCTAAGAATGGCTTTTGCATTTTTAACTGGTTGGGGGAAAAAAAGCGAAGAAGAATATTTCATGACATGTGAAAATTATATGGAATTCAAATTCCAGCATCCATAAATAAAGTTTGATTGGAACACGGCCATGCCCATTCATTTATGTAGTGTCCATGGCTGCTTGTCATGCTACAGTGGCAAGGGTGGGTAGTTGTGACAAAGACCATATGGCCTACAAAGCAGAAGTTACTTGCTATCTAGCTTTTTACAGAAAAAGTTTGCCAATCTCTGCTTTAGACCATCAAAAAAAATATTTTTATAGCTTTTCAGGGGCACTTTAAGTTTTTGAGGGAAGCCAGGTTATTTCTTTTCTTTGTTTCTTTTTTTTTTTTTTTTTAAGATTTTATTTATTTATTTGAGAGAGAGCTTGAGAGAGAGCTAGAGAGAGAGCAGGAATGAGAGGAGGAGCAGAGGGAAAGGGAGAAGCACACTCCTTGAGGAGTCTCAGTCCCAGGACCCTGGAATCATGACCTGAGCCGAAGGCAGAGACTTAACCTACTGAGCCACCCAGGCGCCCTGAAGCCAGGATGTTTCATAGTTTAACTTGGATAGAGAGAGAGAAGAAGTGTTTGAGAGGCAAAGGCCGCATCAGAATTAACCTGAGAAATCTGAGTGCAGAAAGGCATCCCCTGAGTGTTCAGAAAAGAGAATCAAGATGTTTAAAAAGCCTACTTACTCTCGGTCTGTCTGTCTCTCTCCTTTTTTTTTTTTTTTTTTCCTTTCTATAAGGATTTTCTTTCTGGATGGTTCATTTTTATTTTGCTTTATTGTTTCCTTTTTAGCATGGATTTTTTTGGTCCTTTGATGAAACTGTAAATAGAAACTTTAATGAAGAGATGGCAATGAACGATTGGGAGAGCTGAATTATCAGCTACCAGGCAACTCATTCATTTCAGAACATCTAATGGAAGCAGTGATGGGAATGAACATTTTTGTCCCTGAGTAGCACAGACTTAGCCATCGTGGGGAGGGAGCGGGGAGAGGGCTAATGCAGGAGACTCCCACAAATCATTTGATCTGTTAACTTTTCCCTAAAGAAAGAATGAGTGTTTTGGGGTTTTTGTTGGCACAATCTGTGTACCACCTTAATATTTGAAACTGATCAGTTATTATCCTCTTGCTTGATCAAGACATTATAAACAAACCCACGAAGGTAATGTTGGCAATCTGTTCTGGACACAGATATTAATCTTAGAGATTTTTGAAGGTTACACATAGAATTTGAAAAGTTTGCTCTGACAGTTGACTCATTGCCCCTTTTATCAACATAGGTTTTCATCCTAAAAGTTTCAAGGGACAGGATTCTTTTTCTCCCATTAGTTCAATGTGTTTGGAGATTTGCTTTTGGGGACATCCTGGGGGAAATGAAAGCCACATTTGGCCACCAGAGGGAGCAGCTGGTGGCCACGACTTCCATAGAAACTGAATTTTCAGGACATTTTGAAAAGGTACATGCTGGTGGTTGAGTTCAAAGAGATGTCTTTGAGGATTCATACCACGGTTGATATACATGTGGAGTTTTAGATTTAATGACTGCTGAAAGTTCCACCGGGGCGGAGGGCGGGGCAGAAAACTTCTCCGCTTCTGATTTTCTTTCTCATCGGAAGACGGATTTATTAAATTGGCTTTTGGTGAGTTTTGGGAGACCAGGATGTCTGCAGTCCAGGAAAAAGCATTTCCTGCTTCTCAGCAGACTCCTAGAGTTCGGTTTGCGATTTGTCGATTCCTCCCAGAGTTGGCATTTATTCCCCCCACGTTTTCTCTCCAAAGCTAATTTCTGCACAGCTATTCATTTTTTAATATTCTGAACATTGTGCTTCTGCTTAGCCACCCCCTAAAGAGTGTTTGCATTTGGTTCATGATAAAAACACCTAAGAGTCTCAGGCGATTGCTCAATTCATGTACCATTACTAGGACTGCTGATGAACCTTGACCCTTCTTCAGGAAGGAAAACGGAGTTTGAGTAACGCAGAAGGTGTTGGCGTTTTGGGATTTCTGATGGAGTAAGAGTATGTCTTTCTTCCCACAAAACTCTGAGGCTCCATTCAGAAGATATACTTTAGGGCAGACCTTGAAAGTTGTCCACGGTTCCCCATCTTGATCCCACTCAGCACTGACTGACAGTCCATCCCATGCCGAGACGCGACCGCTGTCTCTCAGCTCTCCTTGGAAACAGACCCAGTTATTTTCTCTCAGACTCTTCCTGAAGCAGGGATTTGGTCAGCTGTTGGATTTAGAGGATTTCCGTGAAGGAGGCAGCATTATAACAGTGACTCAACAGATGAGGTAGAATTCCTTTTGCTGCTTGTAGCAAGCTGGGCACCCCAAGAGCTCAGATGGCTGATAGAGATATTGTTTGATTCTGGCCTTCCTCCCCGTGGGCGCCGACAGCTCAGGAAAGGGAAACGTGGAGGGGAAAGAACAACACTCTGTCCTTGCTCTTGACAAAACACAAAAATCACCTACCCCTCTTGCCGACAGAAATTCCAGACAGAAAAAGGAGCTTGAGGGTAAAAGATGCCCAAGATTTTCTCTCAGCTCTTTGCTTCCTCTAGAGCTTAGGGTTTGTTCCTGTGAGCAAGCCAGCAGTACTTTAAGGCACCCATAAAAGGCTTACACGGTTTTTGTTCTTGTTTTTAGTGAGAAGAAAAACAGTGAGCTTTTAGGTCAAAGAAACTGTTTTCGCAGATAATACTCATGTTTTTGTCTCTATATGAATGCCATTGTAAAATATAATTTTTTTAAAAAGATTTTATTTATTTGAGAGAGCATGAGCATGAGCAGGGGGTGGGGCAGAGGGAGCAGCAGACTCCCCACTGAGCAGGGAGCCTGATGTAGGGCACGATCCCAGGACCCTGGGATCATGACCTGAGCCGAATGCAGACGCTTAATGGACTGAGCCACCCAGGCGCCCCATAAAATATGATTTTTAATGCCTTTTTTTTTTTTTTTAAATGGAGGAGGGGATCCAGGGAGGCACAGTGTCCAGAGCCACAAAAGTCATAATCCAACCCTGGCCAAAAGGACCAGAAAGTAAAGGATTCAAGTAAAGGATGCGTCATTTCACATAACCCAGCTCATGTTCCACTCTCTCAGTTCAGATAACTGTAAGCAGGTTGTGAAGACCTTTGGTTCTGGAACCCAGTATCAGCCACTTTGTGTGCACTCCACGAAAGCCTGGTGCCCCACTACTTCTGGGACTGACCTTCAATAATAGTATGCTTATGGGTGGGCACAGCGAAATGAGACCGTGCTGCACTCAGGGCTCATTATTTTCATCTCCCAATTACACAGAGAGGTGTGCTTGCATGAAAACTATCCAGTTTTCTTTAAGAACATTACCTCCGCTTTAGTGTGCTCCTGAGGGGATTGCCTGCTATAGTTGGATGAAAGGTTTGCTTTAGATCCTATTATTTAAAAAATCTATTATTATTTTTACCGGTTAAAAACATGTCCTTGCTTAATTGATACCTCTTCAATGATTTCCTGGGAGAACAGATCTTAGAGATTTTCACTGTATATTGTGAATATCAAAGATGGTCTTGACTCAATTCTTTATTCTTTTCATTTTAAGTCCTTCCCCCGACCCTGAGTCACCTTGGATTGGATACATGTTCATTCAGAATCCCCATATGCATATGCTTTTGATTTTGCTAACAGAATATTTTTATACTTTGCCCCAAAGTTTTCAGAATCATTTCTCTTGGTAAATCCAATTTTGAAAAACCGATTCAAATGTTCTGTTTTGATTTTAGAAATTCATTTTGGAAAAGGTCAGGCTGTTTGGATCACTTTAAAGGTTTGCTCGAAGGAACAAGATAATTCTTTCTCTGGAGTTTTGCTCACAAGTTATTTTGACCAGAGCCAGCATTTCTGACTCTTCCAAATTTCAGGGTGACTTGCATTCAAGAGCAATGTTAAGTCCATCATTCAGTTTTGGTCCCAGAGAAGTTAATGGTCAGAAACCGACATGATGAGTTTCACCTTCCAAGATTCTTTCCACCGAGATTTCCAATTACCCCCTTGCGCCATCTGAAAGGTTAATTTTAAAACTAGTACCATGTCTAATTGTGTTAGGAGCACATGACTTCTAAAGGACAAATCTATATAAATGATTACCCTTGGAAGAAAGCTACATGTAAGCAGTTTATCCTGGTTGTTTAAAGAACATCCCTTTCAAGCTCTCCTGGGTTGCAAACGCCTTCAGGTTCTGTGCTGCTTGTGTGGTATTATTTGCTCAAAGGCTGTTATTAGATACAGGTACACATGTTCCAAATGGTGTCACTAATGATACATAATCTACATTAAAACAGTTTAAAGATTTTTATTGATTTATTTGAGAGAGCGAGAGAGCACGTGAGGGGAGGGGTAGAGGGTGAGGGAGAGAAAGAGAGAGAATCCCAAGCAGACTCCATGCTGAGTGTGGAGCCCTACGTAGGACTCGATCTCACGACCCTGAGATGATAACCTGAGCTGAAACCAAGAGTCGGACACTCAACCGACAGAACCAACCAGGTGCCCCTACCTACATTAAGTTACTTTAAAGACTTAATATACTTATCTCCCTCCTCGCCCTCCCTACACCTCTCCCTTCTGCCCATTTTGATCCATCTCTTCTTTAGGACCACGCCCTGCCAATCTGTCTTCAACGTGCGTCTTCCTTCCCATGGTCCATGGTCTTCTGTCTTCACTGCTTGCCTTTTTTTTTTTTTAGGAGTTCTAAAGTTTGCCTTTCTTCCCTTGCCTGCTCTTTAGGAGTACCAGGCTCAAGTGGAAGAAATGAGGTTGATGATGAATCAGTTGGAAGAGGACCTTGTTTCGGCAAGGAGACGGAGTGATCTCTATGAATCGGAGTTGAGAGAGTCTCGGCTCGCTGCTGAAGAGTTCAAGCGGAAAGCAACAGAATGTCAGCATAAACTAATGAAGGTAGCCAAGCCGCCTCTCAGAAGGCTGTTTTTGGGGTAGAACTCCCGGCTGATCTTAGTAAGAATCAAGGGAATACTAGCTTAACGAGTGTATGTTTGGGGAATAAGGGAGTACTCTGCAAAGTTCCTGGTCTTTTTTTTTTTTTATAGAAGATAACGTAGTTATCATCATCATCATCGTCATCATCATTTGGCCATAGAGATCAAGAAAATATGTTTTATCTCTTAAATTACAGGCTAAGGATCAAGGGAAGCCTGAAGTGGGGGATTATTCCAAACTGGAGAAGGTATTTTCCATTACTGGTCCTGCTATATTTGGTAGACAATCTGTAAACTTTTTTTTTTTTTTTAAGATTTTATTTATTTATTTGAGAGAGAGAGCTCACACATGTGGGAATGGGGGTGGGCTGGGGCAGAGGAGCAGAGGGAGAGGGACAGGCAGACTCGGGCTGAGTGTGGAGACCAGCGCAGGGCTCCATCTCAGAACCGATCACCAGCTGAAATCAAGAGTAGGACACTCAACTGACTGAGCCACGCAGAGGCCTGATAATCTTTTAAATGTTACTCTTTACTGCCAGACATTGGTTAACAATACTCTTGCAATGGATAGAGAACTCTCTAGCAGGTTTATTTTGACTGTCAATCTCTGGGCAACCACATTTAGCTTTAACTGTTGTTATAAAAGGGATGAAAGATACCTCATTTTTTATCATGTCTGATCACAGTAACATACAAACCGAGACACCTAATAAAACATAGGTGAAAATTTCTGTAATCTTAAGGCACTGGGCAACTTTGATTCTCTTGCCATTTGTGTATTGCTGGTTCTAGTAGAGTAGTGTGGAGGTTTTCATGGGGACATTCAAAGACTTCTCTGATAGGTCTCTATTCTTTCTCTCCATTAGTGGGGGCTGGAAAACAGAACAGAAAGACCCCACAGAAACCTTCAGACAATAGCCCTGCACTAAATGTAGCCAGCCATTCATGCCACCTTACCTTTTGCTTTATTTCCCGGAATTTTAATTATAGATCAATGCTGAGCAACAGCTCAAAATTCAGGAGCTCCAAGAGAAGCTGGAAAAGGTAAGCCTGAGGTGATTTTTTTGGGAACTTACCCCTCATTTCCAAATACTTTTCTTTGCCTTGTCCTGGAGCCCAAAAGATGAAAAAGACAGAATTAGTCAGCCAGCACCGAGGAAAATGAAGGGGGAGTGAGCTATTACCTGAAAATATCAGAGTTCTGAATATAGTTTTTCCTTTTGACACATGTCAGCTGTGTTTATTTTTAAAAACCCAAGCTGCGTGAGACTCTCAAGTAAAAGTTCTAATTATACTATGACAGAACCCATGAGGCCAAGAGGCCAGCTTCTCTCCCTTCAGGGGGCCAGGCTCCCTGTTTTGCACATTTGTAAGAGAAGCAGGTGTTGTTCATGGCCCAGACGGCTTTCAGTGAGAAACTGCCCACCCGAAGACTGGGGGAGCCGGGGGGAGTCATCTCCAGGTGGGGGAGGGGGCGGGTTTGTTTTAAGGCATCTTGTATAGTTGGGGCTAATGACCCTCCCATTGGCTGAATGCTGGAAATGCTAATGCATGGCCCACATATGCCTGTCCCAGCAAAGATGGCCCTGTGTTTCCTAGCCTGGTTTAATAGAGCCTCTTCTTACTTACTCTTTGTTGTTGTTGTTGTTGTTGTTGTTGTTTTAAAGTTGTGGTGAAAAACACACAACATTAAACTTACTATCCTAACCATTTTTTAAAAAAAGATTTATCTATTTATTTGAGAAAGAGCGCGTGCATCTGTGCTGTGCGAGCAAGTTGGGGGAGGGGCAGAGGAAGAGAATCTTTAAGCAGACTCCTGCTGAGCATGGATCCTGACTCGGGGCTCGATCTCACGACCCATGAGGTTATGATCTGAGCTGAAACCAAGAGTCGGATGCTTAACCAACTGAGCCACCAAGGCACCCAGGCCATTTTAACCATTTTAAGTATAGAGTTTGGTCGTGTTAAGTGTATTCACGTTGCTGCGCAGTGGATCTCTAGAACCTTTTCATCTGGCAAAGCTGAAACTCTTGACCTGCTGATTCTCCTTCCTCCCTCCCCCTAGCCCTTGGTCAACCACCGTTCTGCGTTCTTTTTCTGTGATTTGGGCAGCTCTAGAGCCTTCTGAGGAGTAGTGTCATAGAGCATTAGGTCTTCCGTGACTGGCTCATTTCGTTTCGCATCATGTCCTAGAGGTTCCTCCACATTGTACCGTGGGGCAGGGTTTCCTTCTCTTTAGAGACTGTGTGATATTCCGTTGTGTGGATAGACCACATTTTGATTGTCATCCATTCATCCGCCTCCTTCTCACCTGTCCTGGAGATGGCCGATGAAAGCCTTCATGGCCCTCTTTCAGCTAGATGTTTGTATGGGGATTCCCGTTTCTATCTAGAACTGTGTTCTCCATCAGAAGTATGATGCAAGCCACGAGTGTCAGCTACTGGTGTAATTTTAAGTCTTCTAGTAGCCACCTTAAACAGGCAGAAAGAAACAGGTGAATTTATTTGAATAATACAGTTTATTTAATCCGATAGAGCCAAAATACCATTGCAGCATATATCCGATATTAAAACATTTACACTGTTTCAGTTTTTAAAGGAATCAAACATAAGTTACATTAAAGATGAATTTTCCAGTCACATTGCAAGTGCTCCCTGGGGCCAGTGGCTCCCGTGTTGGACAGTGCTAGTCTCAAAGATGAAGTTTTCTTCAAGTTTGACCTTTTAAAATTATAATTCAAAGCCAGTAAGCGTGAGACTGTTGGTTTCTTACTCTCAGAGCTTTGCTATGATGCTGTAAGAGCTGCAGTGTCATTAGGATCCAAACGAAAATTAACTTCAAAAGGTGTAGCTTTTTTTTTTGTTTTCTTTTTAAGCAGAGATTTGTGAATTACCAGTGAACTCTGTGGTTGTTATAGACTTTGATAGGTTGAAGAAAAGCTTACAGTTTTTATCCTGTTTTTTAATAAAATTAGTACAGATCCCCCGTAGGAAAGTTAGCAAATGAGATAATTAAATAAGGAGAAACTTTTAAAAAAAATTTTATTTATTTGACAGAGATCACAAGTAGGCAGAGAGGCAGGCAGAGAGAGAGGAGGAAGCAGGCTCCCTGCTGAGCCAAGAGCCCAATGCAGGGCTTGATCCCAGGACCCTGGGATCATGACCCGAGCCGAAGGCAAAGGCTTTAACCCACTGAGCCACCCAGGCACCCCTAAATAAGGAGAAACTTAATGCTCTCAGGGTAAATACATTCACACCTGGGTAGAAAAGTCCTGCTAGGCCTTTCTGTTTGCATTTACTACGTTGCATTAAATCGAAGATACTAATGATTATCAGACACACTCTATCTGCACACCCCAAGAAGGAAAAATTGCTGTCCATTTTAACTGTACAATGCATTCCAAATTCAGTGATGTTTATATATATATATATAATATTTATTATATTATTACAATATGTATTATATAATGCATTCTAAATTATTATATATAATGCATTCTAAATTCTAAATATAATATATATAAACATCACTGAATTTAGAATATATATATAAATTTTATATATATATAAACATCACTGAATTTAGAATGCATTATATATAACATATATGCATTATATAGAATATATAGAATGCATTATATATAACATATATAAATATTATATATAAACATCACTGAATTTAGAATGCATTATATATAATATACATATTATAATATATAGTATATGTGTGTATATATATACATATATGCATATATATATGCACTTTAGTGGAGAGAAAATGCAGAATAAAGTGAATGTGAATGGGTTTTGAAAATCAATCTGGTACATATACACTCAGTATTGCCTGACTTTTCCCATTGAGGAGATCGCCAGCATCTTCTTATGTGAATGACTTTGGCCGTCTTTCTCCTGTTCCTTCGCCCCGGGTAGGCTGTGAAAGCCAGCACAGAGGCCACGGAGCTGCTGCAGAATATCCGCCAGGCCAAGGAGCGGGCCGAACGTGAGCTGGAGAAGCTGCAGAACCGGGAGGACTCCTCCGAAGGCATAAAAAAGAAGCTGGTGGAGGCCGAGGTGAGCAGGGGTCCTCAGCCTGTGCTGGACTGAGTCTGGGTCCCGGCGTGGCCGCCCGTGAGCAGCCGACCAGCTTTGGGCCGTGCCGAGAAGACGACGCTGTGGAACCGCTTTCCCTTCTGCCAATCCCTTTGGAACCTGAGAGGCTTGGCAGCGTTTTTCCCCAAAGGGGAAGAAAAGACTGGTCACAGCAGCTTCAAGTAGAAAGATGTCCTGATAAGAACACTGCCTTTCTTTTCCTTTTCCTCTGGCCTCACGAACCTGGGGGGGATTCACGTTTCAGTCCGTGAACTGTAACGCTCGCCCTCAGTTTCTCTTTCTCTTCCCTCCGCACCCCTGTTTTTCCTTGCCTCTTCCCCACAGACTTAATAACGTTACCTTTCAAGGCTTCAGATGTTACCTGTGTGGCGATGGCCCCCCCCAGGGCCCATGTTTTGGGCCTCTTCTCTCCCTCCAATTCTTTGTTGTTGTTGTTGTTGTTGTTGTTGCTGAAATATTTGATATAATTATACAAGAAACACATGAGTGTCTTCTTGTTGTAGAAAACTTGAACAGTACTGAAGAACAGAGAATAAAAAGTAACACTTCTCCCCAACTCCCCTCCACCTCCCTCACCGCTTTGGTGATTGTCACAGAGAACAGATTGTAGTTGATTTAACCCTCCCCCTGCCCCCCCAACATTGCCGGGCCCTCTGCCTTCCCCTGCCCTGGTGCTGGCGGGTGCATCAAATCTAGAGTGAACTCAGTATCTTCCCCCATGAGTGGGGCTCCCTTCTTAATCTCCCCATGCCAGTCAGGACCACTGTCACTCATCTGGTCACCCCAGGCTTGAAACCTTGACATCGTCTTTTCCTCCTTGCTCCCTGCCATTCGGTCCTATAAATCCAGCCACACTCTCTCCCCCATTCACCCCTACTTGCCATTTCTGTGGGCTTCCTCACTGTCCAGGCCTTCCTTCCCTTAGCTGAGCACACTTAGTCATTTGGGGGCCCTCTACTTTCCATCTTCCCTTCCTCCCCACTGGCTCATTTGACATAAGACTCACTGGCCTTAACCGGAGACTCATCAGACCCCCCTGCACCATCCCAGAGCTTTCAGAGCTTCCCTGTGTCCTGTGTGCACCCCTGAACTTGGTACGTGAAACTTGGTGCCATTCGACCCACTAGTGCTCCCTTTTACCTTCTCTCCTCTGTCCCCTAACTCATCTTACGCTCTAGCTGCTGGAGGGTTCTCCTGCGGTCTCACCAGCTCCCTACCTCCTCCATATTTGTGCAAATGCATCTGGCTTTGTCTGAAGGGCCTTCCACCCTCCCCTCCTGCCCTCCCCAGTCCAGCCTGGGTATCCCAGCACCCTGCAAAGCTCACATCTCTGTGACTTCTCCCTTTGGCTCGTTTGGCGAAAAGGCCTTTTTCCCGCCTGCAACCTCCCACCGCCCTCTGAACCCGATTTTCTGTATGGCCCTTCCCCATCTTAACCTCTATTATGTTTCTTTGTGTTTGTCTTATCTTTCCCAAGGGCAGGAATTCTGTCGGCTCCCTCTCCGTATTTTCTGTGATGCCTAGTGTGATACTTTGCAGATAGTAGGTGCTTGGTAAATATTTGAATGAATGAATGCACTCTTGTAACCCAACACAACCAAGTTCTTGGATTCTAGAATCTTCTTTTCCTCACCGTTGCTTCAGGCACCCAAGACTTCTTTTCCTGCCTTGCGCGTATGCTTCTCGAGGGCGCTCTCCCTCGGTGCAGGCGCTGTGCCCATAGCGGTTACTCCATTAAAACTCTCTGATTGATTCATGATCTACAGGAACGCCGCCATTCTCTGGAGAACAAGGTAAAGAGGCTAGAGACCATGGAGCGTAGAGAAAACAGACTGAAGGATGACATCCAGACAAAATCCCAACAGATCCAGCAGATGGCTGATAAAATTCTGGTGAGCAGGAACAAAAGCTGAAAAGTTAAAAGACAACAGGTTAGAGGTCACAGAGGGAAGGGGGTGAAAAGAGGAACGGAACGCCGTCACCCAGGGGAGGTATCACCAAGTAGGTGAATGGAGAGAAGCGGCTTCATTGTCGGCCCCATGCTAGGATAGCACGAGTAACCAAATGTTGGACGTCTCGGCACCGGTAACAGATCCGTAAATATTACTTTTCCGCTCTGTTTGCTACTGCCTGACATTTTAAAACATGAACGTGCATCCTCTGTCATTTCCAATACATATTTACAGGAGCATTGATGTACTTCTATCGGCAGAGTTTTGTATGGCTGTTAACTTTGCGATGGCAATTTGCAAAATGGTGGGGCTTTAGACCTTTAAAACCCAAACCCAGATTTTTGCTTTTGGAGAAGACAGAAATTAGTCACGCAGGGCTGTTTTTCTCAGAGTAGTATTTGTCATAGATCTGCGTTCACCCACTCACTCTCTCTGCTACAGTTGGTTATTAGTATTATTTTCCCCCCTTAATTTCCTTAGATGTAGCAAGTCTTTTTTTAGGTTTGTAAAGCCTCATGATTCTGTTTTCGGCTCTGGTGACCAAATTAACTTCATCAAGGAAGCCCGACTTGGGTGCTACTTGCGGATGTGGTGAGGTTTTTGTCCTAGGCAGGTGAACTTTTAAAGGACTGTCCTTGGATCTCAGTCCCAAAGCCAGGAATGTGTGCCACGTGTGGGAGTCTTAGCGATGACATGGAATCTTTTCATAGCCCCCTTCTCCCTGCCCCTAGGAGAGACCCTGGAGTGGTCGATTGTTCCTTTCCACCATAAGGAGGCAAGGTGGTGCGCAGGCCGGTGCATCTCTCTCTGTGTCTCTCTCTATCACTTCTGGGAAGTGGGTCACCTGCGACTATATGAACTCAAGAATGGCCAACTTATAGACCTATCCTTAATACCAAAAAACAAAACAAACAAAAAAAAAACCCGCAAAAAAACCCAAACCCTTCAAAACTTTACCTGTGTTTGCATATATTCACGAAGATATGGATGCTCTTGAGTAAACAGGTGAAAGAGAAATTGGTTGAATTGTTTTGCTTTAACACAGTCTTTGTATATATGTCTGCACACAAAGGCAAATGTGACTGTTAGTCTACCCTTTCTGTTCTCTTGTTCCATCATCAAAGTTTCTCTTGGCGACTGTCAAGTGTGTGAATTTTACCGTGAGTAAAATTAGATCCTACTGAGATCCCACCACCGCTGTCCCTTGCTTGGTGCAAACGAAGTGGTTAAGTCTCTTGTGGTTGCAAAGTGTTTCTCTGTTTAATGGTGATGTGTTCATTCATTCATTCAACAAATATTTAATGAGCTTCTACTATGTGCCAAGCACTGTTCTAGGAGCTGGAAATGTAGCAGTAAAGAACCATGTTTGCCTAACAGGACTGAAGAGTTTGATCCGATACATAGAGAAAAGATAATGTTTTACAAAAATGACAACAACAACAAAAAATGCCAAACCACCAAGAAGTCAGATTTAGAATATCTGCTTTTCCAAAGATTCGCTTGCAATTAAAATGTAGGAGTAGAGCATTCTCCCTTCTTGGATTCTGTGTTGTTAACTTCCATTCACATATAGACCAGAAATTGGGTCTTCAAGTCATCAGGTCCAGGGATCTGAGTTTTTTGTTTTTTTTTTTTACCTGTTTTTAGACTCTGCTTTCCATTCCTGTGCTCTCTTAGGAGGACCAAAACTCAGACAAGATGATTATCAAGCGATTTCTAACCTAAAGAAAAAGTAAACAGATTTCTTTGTTTGAAGGGTATCTTGCCACCTGCCTGACTACCTTTTTTTTTTATCGGAAAGTGCGTTTTGCTCAAGAAACCTGTGCTTAGACTGTGAAGTACCCAGGACGTGGGCAGAAGGGGGTCCTTACTACTACCATATGATGATGATGCTTGGAAACAGATCCCAAAATGTCATTTGCTTTAAAATATTTGCTATTCTGATAAGACCTTTTCAAAACAGGTAATTGGCATTCTCATTATGGCAAAGTCTTTTGCTTTAATGAAAGACGTCATTGCAGGAGATCCTTTAGTGCACATAAAGCCCTTAAAGTATGTTTTTATTAATTAAAATCCTGTTTACATTTAACGTTTCAAGATCACATCTGTTAGACTGCAATAGATCTTGTGCACCTGGTCTTAAAATTGAACACTTTACTGGCCCCCGAAGCAAAGTCAATGCTTGTAGGCTTTAGAATTTCAAAAGCTTAATCAGTAACATTTTATGTGCATGTGAATCTGAAACTATTTTTCCCCCCGTTTTACCGACATATCCTGTATAATTTCCTCATTCTTCAAAATTTTCATAATTACTTCCACTTCAAGAAAAAATTTCATAACTGTGAAGAGATGAAAACTTGGGATAACGACTTTTGATATTAGTAATTAACTAATGGGTCCAGATTCATAAGAATTAATGTGGATGCAGAGATCTGCATTTAGAGAATGTTTCAGTAGATTGAATGCTGCCTTTTATGAGATCAGTTTATAATACATCGGCAAATGAATTGGTATAATTTTCAAATGAATAACGATTTTGTTTAAAAGCAGAAATCTTAGAACGAAGGGAATATTAAATCTGAACTATTTATATCACTCCAAATTCTCTTCCCATCTTTAATATATATGCATACATATTTAGGTCGTTATTATCAGTGTATTTTATGTTCTACTTTGCTCCCATTAGCCCTGTAGCCTATAAACATGATACCATAGGAGCATCTCCAGATACTCACTTTCTCCACATACCAGTCAGTTAAAACAAAAATCATTCAACCCTCAAAGTGTTTGAATTGTAACATTTCTTTTCTTTCCATAACTAGGGTGAGCAGTCATGTTGCTAATCAGGAAAATACAAAATTTTTTTATCATAATAAAATAACTTGCAATTTAAAAGAAATTGAAATTACTTATTTTCATTTAAGGCTGTTATGACAGTGAAAATGGCCTGAGGCTCAAGGCAGTGGACAGGGGCTTTGTGCTGCACTAAACTTTCAAATGTTGCCTTGTGACTGTCCATTCTCTGTGCACAGATGAAGATCTGCCTTTGTTTGACCTGTCACACTGACAGCGTTCTGATCCCAGCCCCCCAGCTGTGTGTGTATGTGTTTGAATTCTTGGACCCGGAAACCCCAGGGCCAAGGATCGGTGGTGGTTTCCTTCCCAAGAGCCTTAGGGCTAGTCATGAAGGAACATGTGCCTGTTGCTTGTGGTGCCAGTGCCAAAGTCATGTTTCCCGTGAATGTCGAACACACTTGAACTATGTCTTTCCCTCTGCACACCTGACCATCTGTTCCTTTGTGTCCAGGAGCTGGAGGAGAAGCACCGCGAGGCCCAGGTCTCCGCCCAGCACCTAGAGGTGCACCTGAAACAGAAAGAACAGCACTACGAGGAAAAAATTAAAGTAAACACACTTTCTGATTTTCCCTGGCATTCTCCCTCTGGCATGACCTAGCTTCTCTCTCTTCCGGGACACTTTGGGCTCCTTCTTGCTAGACCCAAGGCCTGTTTGGGGTAAATGCTGTCCTCAGGCCATGGTGGGAGGTGTTGAGGTATTAACCCATGTGGGGGATGTTCAAAAAGACATACATATATATTTTACTTATTAATCTCTGTTCTATTTTTAATGTATTTTTCACCCCACTGTCATTCAGTCCATGATAATTTTGAGTTAGCCACAGACTCACCATTCTTTGCTTTAATTTCCTTTCTGAATCTCAGACCTGAACCTTTCCTTTGGTTTAAAGTACATCCCTGAGGACTTTCTTTAGTGAAGACCTGCTGGTGACAGGGTCCCGGTTCTGTGGTTCTAAAAGTGTATTTATTTCACACTCATTCTTGAAAGATGTTCTGCCTGGGGATAAAATTCTGGGTTGGCACTTATTTTTTAGGACACCCTTTGAAGGTGTCACTCCATTGTCTTTTGGCTTATTATTTCTAATGAGAAGTTAGCTGTCAGTCGAACCGTTTCTTTCTTTGACAGTCATTGCTCTTTTTCTGTTTGGCTGCTTTTAAAATTTTGCCCAGTTTTTAATTTTCCAAAATTTTACTGTGATATATCTAAATGCAGATTGATTATTTATCTTGCTTGAGATATATAGGACTTTAAAATATATTAGTATCTTTTATCAGTTCTGGATAATTATTGGTCACTGTATCTCAAATATTGTCCCTTCTCCTTCCTTCTTCCTTTTTGAGAGTTTAAATGGGCATCACATATGATTTTTTTTTTTCCATAGTTTCCATTTCTTTATCTCTCGATGCACGTTGGGGGTAAGATCTGGATAATTTTCTACTTTACTAATTCTTACCTGTCAAATCTGCTATTAAACTCATCCACTGAGTTTTAAATTTCAGTTAGTGTATTTTTGGTTTCTAGACATTTTATTTGGCTCCTTCCCAAGTTTACTAGATTATTTAAGACCATAATTTTCTATTCCCTGCATTCATTTTTAAGCTTTTCTTACTTCTTTAAACACGTCAGCATGGTTGTTTTATGTTCTTTATTTGATAATTCCAGTATCTGATGTATCTGAAGGTCTGATTCTGCTCTGTTGTTTCTCTTTCTTGTTTTTCATGGTGCCAGTCTTCCTGTGTGCTTGGTCAGTTGCTCATTTTCCTTAGAAAATTATTGTTGGGCATTCTTTGAGGCTTTGAATGGAAATGTGTGTCCCCTTTGAGGGTGGCCCTGGGCTTAGACTTCTCTCTCTTCTTACCCTGTAAGCTATCTTACCCTGTAAGCTGTAAGCTATTAAAAATGAAGTTCAAGTTTATTTGGTTCAGCAAGGATCTCAAGTTAAAAACAGTTTTATGCCCATCTAAACTCTCTAGGTTTCTGCTTTCACTTAGAATTTTAGTCTCTAATTTCTTTCTTTCTTTCTAAAGATTTTATTTATTTGACACAGAGAGAGAGAGAGAGAGTGAGGCCGTGAGAGAGGGAATACAAGCAGGGGAAGCTGGAGAAGGAGAAGCAGGCTTCCGGCCAAGCAGGGAGCCTGATGTGGGGCTTGATCCCAGGATGCTGGGATCATGACCTGAGCCAAAGGCAGACGCTTTATGACTGAGTCACCCAGGTGCCCCCTGTCTCTAATTTCTTACTGTCTTGCCAATTTTGGGAAAAGTGTTTTCTATGTTTTATCTAACATTTTAAATCATTTTCCATAGAAAGGCTGGCCTAAATAATCTAGCCCACTATATAAAATACTAAATTCAGTTATTATTCCAATTATTGAAATTCCTTCAATAATTAAAATTATTTCAATTCAGTTATTATTAATAAATTCAGTGATCAGAAAAAATGCCAACTTATCTATTTCCTTTTAAAATCCATCACATTTTCATTATGACTTTGGACCAAGCCTTTAATCAATTCTCTTGTTCTTGAGAGTCAGACATTGGTCATTACATCTTAAGTATGTCTTCCCCTTCCCCTAAATATTAATAGGAGGGTTTTAATTTTTGTGATGATCCTGTTATAGATTTTTTTGGTATCCTCTGTTCCTTTTTTAGAGAACCAAACATATATATGCCCACACAACATTATGATCATCACCCCCCTGTGACCTTTGTGGGTTTTTTTTAATTTGTTTTTGACCCCTGGTGTTACTTCTGGTTATTTTTCATTAAAAACAAAAAACAAAGAACAAAAACAAAAACAGAAAAATAATGCAGAAGTGACTTCCAAGTGTTGTAGTGTGACCCCCTACTCAGTATATTTTTAAACTTTATATACTGATCCTTTGAATTCTTACTGGCTTCCCAACTTTGATCTTTAGAATAAACCAACTTCCAGAATGTTACAAGAATATATGCAGTAGTCCACTTGCATGATGAAAATAGCCATGCATAAAATTCATTCTGTAATTTGGGTGAATATATGGACTTTCCTGTCCATAAGCTGTGTTCCATCTTAAATTGGTATATAAATGTCTCCAGTGGTTCTCTCATTTCAAGTTCCTTGCTTCCCTCTCATGCATCTTTCTTCTTGTTCGTCCTTCTGCTAGCTGAGTGCTATCAAAGTGGAGGTGTGTGCGTTGTTGATACAGGTGTGTTCCTCTCTGACTCCTGTTGGTATCCATCATGGCCCAAAGTTGAGGTTTTATTTTGAGCACGAGTCACCCTGAAAATGTGCTTCATTGCTTTAGCACCCCATAAAAAGGAGCGTACCTGGTCCAGGTACTGTGTGGTCTCCACAGCCTTCTAGATGGAAAGAACTTTGTTTTATAGATCCTAGGGAATGCCACGGAAAGCCTTGTTCTCTTCCGTCTTCCCTACTGGAATCTTTATGAAACCATTGCTTTTGAACCTGTCCTGCCTTGTGCTTCCTGTTCCAGCCTCCCTAAGGCCATTTTAGTAATAATCATGGTCATACCCTAGATTCTGCCCTTTTCTTGTTCGTAATTTTAGAATCATGCCCCAACATCCTAGAGAATAGGCCACTTATCCCATTGAGCTTCTCCCCTCCTCCCTTGACCTGTCCTCCACCTTTTGTTCTCCACAAACTCTCAGTCTATTTTTTTCATCAGTCAGTTCTGCTTTAAAGCCCTCTTTGAAATCTGTTCTTTCCTTTCTCTCTCATGTGAACCCCCTCCCGGCTGACTGGCTCCTTTTAGGAGCTCATGTCCCCATGAGCCACGAAGGTCCCTTCACAATAGACATTGTGGGAAAGGCAGATTTCAGTCCCCTCTGTGACCCCAATTCTTTCAGCGTCTTCCCAGTATCGGAAGCAGCTGGTGCCATTCAGAAAAGGCAGAGTAGATTCTCTGTGATGAGAAACATAGGTCTGTGGTCAAAGGCTTGGGCAAGTTATGATGTTGTCTTCCTTTTCTCCCTCCGTCTGTCTTTCTCACTGGTTGTTTTGGCAGCTGGGAGGGCTGTGTGTGCCTCGCAGAACATTAGATCAAGCTGGTGGTTGGTGACACCATTACTGTTTTATTTTTTCCCCTTGGGAACAGTAGGTGCTTGCAGTGGTGTTCTCAACCCCGAGAACACATGATTTCTCTTCCCCTGGGAGAAGGTTTCTCTCTCCAGTGCCTTTTTTTTTTTTTTTTTTTTTTTTTTTGGTTTCCCAGCTGGATCAGAGGAAAGAACGGAGGAAGAAAGGGGCACTTTTTTTTTTTCTCTCTCTTTTATGTTGTTTTTTCAAACTGTTGACTCTCCACCTACTTTATTGGTGGGCCGAATCCTCTCGTCCCTGTCTGTTTCTGAACATCAGCCTTGGTTGCACAGACGTGCTCAGTCTTCAGCTTTCTGTCCCTCTGTACACAGCCTTAGAGATATCTAGATTAATTCTGTACAGATTAAGAGTGAGCAGGGTTCTGAAAACGGGTGCATTGACTACGAGAAAGTTGTCCCTAGGTAACATCTGCACGTTGTAAGATCTGGGGACAGATCTTTTTTCTCTCATTCTGGAGTTTACTTCCACTGAGGATATATACCTCTTGAGTCTTTTTGGCTGCTGATTTTAAAATAAGTTCTTAGTTCATGTCCTCTGGTTCCATGCCATTTGAAGGTCATGCTTGATTCTTGCCTTTGTCCTGGCTCATAAGCAGATTCCCAGTCCCTCTCTTTGCCCCAGACTGTTCTTGGCCTCTTCACTGCTTCTCTTGCTTTCCCCAAGAGCCCCCAGTTAGTCTTCCCCACTCAGCTTTGCTACTCAGGACACTAACTTCTTTTGTTTCTCATAGGTGTTGGACAACCAAATAAAGAAAGACCTGGCCGATAAAGAGACTCTGGAGAATCTGATGCAGAGACACGAAGAGGAGGCCCACGAGAAGGGCAAAATTCTCAGTGAGCAGAAGGCGGTAGGTATAAGGAATCGCAAAGCCAGTTTTCCAAGGAGGGCTTGTGAAACGTGCCCAGAATCACACACCCAAGGAGAGTCCATTCCTGCTGATGAATTATTCTTCCTGTTTAATCCTGTGGAGTTTGTTGCCTACAGCAAGCCCTCTGCAACTCCTCATCTCCTAAAATCAGCAGGGGTGGTGGCTCAGGGTGGCCGACTTTGTCTTTTGTGCTCTTCTTTAAGGATTCATGCTGGTCTGCCATCAGCATTGCCCTTCACAATGCCACCTGACAAGATGGCCAGTGGCTCTACATCTTCCTTACGGGGCTCCTTTCTCTGCACTCTTGCCTTTCTCACCTGGGTAGGCCCGGGTTTCAGGAACTTTCTGCTCATAAGGTTCACCTGGGGTTTTCATTCATCCACCCCGGTCTTGGACCCCACAGGGACTCTGAGCCTCAGAATCTCGAAGGGAGGGTCCTAAGAAGTTAGAATTTTTAATCAGTACCTCCCCCCTTCCTCTCCGATTCTTATAATTTATTAGGTTGAGAAAACTTTGATGTAGAGAATCTAGGACAGTAGTGAAACGAGAGCCCCACGGGTGATGAGAAACACTAGTTAGCAGATTCAAGTTAGAGGCTTGGGCAGGCCCAGGCCACATGCACATGACGCAGGCCTGCTTACTCATAGAATGTCCAGTTCCTAAGTTGGTGCTTCCGTGTGGTTTTCATGCAGGCCACTTAGGTAGCGGGGGGATGTGTAATCTCTGAGAAAACAACTGAGCGCCACTGTCTGGGCGGTAAGGCCTGTGACCCTCAGGCTGCAGAGCAGTTGACTCCCCTGGTACTTCTAGTCAGACAGCCTGCATTTCAAGGGGAGCCTTTGACCCTGGCCCCATGGCCCCTGTTACTCTCATTCTGGTAAAACCGTCTGTGTGTGAGGTTTCAAAGGCCTTCCCTGTGTTTCAGATGATCAATGCTATGGATTCCAAGATCAGATCCCTGGAACAGAGGATTGTGGAACTCTCAGAAGCCAACAAACTTGCGGCGAACAGCAGTCTTTTCACACAGAGGAACATGTAAGTACTCACGTGCCATCTGCGTGCGTGATTACACATCGGTCTTCTCTCTGGGAGCAGAAATTTCGTTCTTCTGTCTGATGAAGCTGGAGCAGATTTAATTACTTCTGTAGTTTGTTCCAGAACCCTGTTCTACCTGTGTAATTTTGCCCTCTCTTAAGTGGTCTCATTCTGTCGTGCCCTTTCTTTGGAGCTGGGTTTTCTCAAATGCTTCCAATTGCCATCAGATGACAGAGTGCTTTGCTCTCTCTAATGAGGGCTATTTATAGTTCGCTTTTGGAGAGCTGCGGGCCTTGTTCCCCAGACTTGCCTCCCGTGATTAGCCAGAGGTGATCTTGTGTGTCTGGTTGGGCCATCCGTCCTGCTGTTGTTAAGTTAGGCCCAGGGACATGAGGTTTGTAAAGGCTCCCTGTGTTCCAGGAGTGCTTGGGTCTTCATCTTCTCCCCCAAAGAATTACCATCTCTGGGAATCCCCCCTCCTCAAATTAGGTACCTCTCTTCAGAGATCTTGTAAAACATTCCCATTTTTACTTAAACTAACTCAGTGGGCCGCTTTTTGGTCTTTGAGTCATTTCCAGTTTCTGATACTTGTGAGCAATCTGATGGGGCTTGGAACAAGGTCTATGGAGAAGTGGAAGGAGCAGCATTCCTTCCCCTCATTGCCCTTTTTTCCCTGGGGACCCACCTCTGTGAGCGGTTGGGGCACTCTTGTACTCTGTAGAGGCCCCTTTCTGCCCCTAGACAGACTCAAAAAATTGGGGAGTGGTCTACTTTAGGAAGGAAATGTTATTGTCTCTTGCATTCCCCTTGACCTTCCTGAATCCCATAGAAGAGGGCATCTAAACAGTGAGGGCTACATGGGTCCCAGGTCCCCATGCTGGGATCAGGCACACGAGGCCAGGTCAGGACAGAGCCCACCTGGGAATGGCCATGCCCGCTAACAGAGACATTCCTCTCACTCTGTTCCTGTCTGGCCCGCTGAGGGCACGTGCACACCTCTAATGAGACCGTGATTTTGCTTGGCTCCTCCACCACCCCCACCAGGAAGGCCCAGGAAGAGATGATTTCAGAACTCAGGCAACAGAAGTTCTACCTGGAGACACAGGCAGGGAAGCTGGAGGCCCAGAACCGAAAGCTGGAGGAGCAGCTGGAGAAAATCAGCCACCAAGACCACAGTGACAAGAATCGGCTGCTGGAGCTGGAGACAAGGTTGAGGGAGGTAAGAGTGAGGGGCCCTTGCTCAGGAGGATTCGCTGGGGGTCAGGGGCCCCGAAACCTGCCAGGTGTCAGGCATCCGTCAGCATATACCCAGGAGGCAACGTGCATGGTGGTGAAGCGGGCAGACCGGGCCACCTGGATCTGGGGGAGGATTCCACTGCTATTTCTTGCAAGTACCATGACCTTGGGCAGCCTACTGTCTCTCCGTGCTTCCGTTTCCTCATTGGCCAAATGGCTGCAATGAGGAAGCTCCCTCTGAGGGTCACATGAGGATAATGTACATCGGTGCCTTTGTCAAACTGGGGGGGCAGAGTGATTCCTCCCTCATCCGGATTTAGCGCGGGCCACGTGCCCGAGTCCATGCTCGGGCTTTAGTGTCTGGGGTCCATCGGGTGGCCTGCTGACAGTGGCAGTGGTCTCCTAGTGGAAGAGGAAGAGACAAATCACAGTTTTTTTTTTTAAGATTTTATTTGTTTATTTGACCGACAGAGATCACAAGTAGCCGGAGAGGCAGGCAGAGAGAGAAGAGGAAGCAGGCTCCCCGCTGAGCAGAGAGCCCAATGCGGGGCTCGATCCCAGGACCCTGGGATCATGACCCTAGCCAAAGGCAGAGGCTTAACCCACTGAGCCACCCAAACGCCCTGAGACAAACCACAATTTTAATGGAAGGTGGTTCTCTTCAGAGACTTAAGGAAGCTGGGAAGGTTAGCCAAGTTTTGGGGAGGAAAATTTGGCACGTTTGGTTGCAGACACGTGTACTCACTGAGTGTTCATTAAATGCCTACGGTGTGCTGGGCAGTAGCCTGGCTCCATGGTGGCGATAAGACAGACCCTATCCTTGATGCTGGGGGCTGTCGCCTAGCACGCAGGGTTAGCTGGCTGGACAGAGGAGACTGGGAGAGCGGTTGCCAGAAGCGCGACATCCCAGCTAGGTGGGAAGACAGCGCCTACAGCCTAGGGGGTACTGGTCAGGGATTTGTGACGGAATTCTTCAAAGAGCACATGGTCTCTCGTAAAGGAATAGACTGAAGCACGCAGAGGTCTGAGGGCTAAACTTGGTTTAGCCCGTGGTTCTTGTGCTGGAGTGTGAAAATGAGGCCAGTCCTCCAAAGGACAGGAAGAAACCAAAACAGATGCATTGTCTCTTGTGTTTCAGGACCGGTCCAGGTATAGACCCCTTTGTCAGGGTCATCTGGTGTGTCTGTTGAAAGGCAGATTCCTGGGCCTCTTCCTCTCTCAGCGTTTTTGAATGAACTAGGATGTGGGGGGATGAGGGGAGCAGGGATCTGCCTTTTGAAAAATCTCCGGGTGGTTCTCATACTCCCACAACAGTGGTTCTGTTCTGGGTTGTCCAAAACCCTTAGGTGGTGGTTTCAGTTTTATTATCCAGCCTATATTTTTACTGTTTAGTAAGTTTAACAACATTTCCCCGTAGTGTCAGCCTTAAGAGTGTGAGTGTAAATAACTCTGATTTCTTTGAGCTTGGGAACACCGACTAGCTGTTTTGCCTTCCCTTCCCACAAATGTCTCTCTTAGCTCGGCACCTGCCCTGCATCTGTCGCTCATCTGGGCAGCTAAAATGCCCCTGGGGGAGCAAGTTGTTTTTTTTTCCCCTTGAATCTATACAGCTTGCCCCCCTACTGCCGAGAAAGTGGCAGAAAGTTAGAATGCTGGTAAGAAGCTCAGGACCGTCATACTCCCGGGGAGTTCTGGAGCTTAACTTTAAATATAACAAGGCAGGTCCACCTTCTCTTTGCTGCCTGCTGCTCCCGAGACTGGGGACAGAGGATCAAGCCTCTGGTTTGATCCCCCTTTGAGGCTTTCCATACCCTGTGCGTGCAGCGTGAACTCTTCCTTAACCGGGGGCGTGGAGTTGCGCAGGTGCAGGGCTCTGGGGCCCTCCTGTCATTGCACAGCCTCATGCTTGCCCGCCCCTGCACAACTCACCATCCCCTGCCACCCCTGGTCCTGCCAAGTGGCCTCAGGGGAGCTTTTCAGCTCACTGGCAGAGTCGCAGCCTGCTCCGACTGCTGGCATTTTAATAAGACAAACAGCAAGCTGTGGACTCTCAAGCCGGATTTCCTGGGTTCGAAGCCAGCCCTGCCACCGTGGAGCTGTGTGACATTTGCTCAGTCATGTACCCTGTTGGTGCCACTGCGTGCCGCTGGGTAGGGTGGCAGCGACAGTGGCGCCTCCCTCTCTGGCTTGTTATGAAGGTGGAATGAGCTGAAAGAGTGCCTGGCGCCTTGGGAGCGAGGACTGCCATGGCAGCTGTCGTGTCACCGCCATTGTCACTAGTGGGAGAGCGCAGCCTTGGCTTCAGCTGCCACTGATTGGCCAAGGGCTCCCAGAGATTGCCAGCCCAGACCTTTCTCGTGGGTCCTGACCCATTGTCCTAGTAGACGTTAGACACCTCCACCTGGATGTCTCCCTTGCTGCTCAAGTTTAGTATGTCAGCAGGAATTTCCTACCTTTCTTCTTAGACTGGCTCTTCCTCTCGTGTTCCCTGGCGTAGCAGAGGTCTCCCTGCGCAGTTCGCCCGGCCAGAAGCTCAGGTGTCACCTTCTGTCCTTTGTCTCTTGCCCCACCTCAAATGAATCCCAAATCCTGTTGATTCTCTAGGCTTAGTCTTTTGTCTTTTATAAGTTCTTGTTCTCTTCACCCTTATAGCTTTTGGGACTTGGGTGTCACCTTTTCCAGGGACCCTTCTCTGACCCTCCAATGCGGGATGGAACATCTCCTTTGTGTCCCCAGGGCCTTGTGTATTTAGGTCATCACGTTGTGTACCTGTCGGCAGCCCCTGTTCGACAGTGAGCAGGTACCTCTTATTTGCTTGACATCCCCAACGACTGGCACAGAGTCCGGTCGCCAGAACAGCCTTGTCAGTGTTGGTTATGTCAACAGGGTCTCCCTCATCTCCATGCCTTTGGATGTCTTGGTTCCTCTGCTTGGAATTTTCTTTCCTATTTGCTGGTTTGGCTCCTAGAAATTCTTCAATAAACACATGCAGTGTTGTTCCCTCCTTTACCCTCCACCGTCTTCCCACTACATCCCCACATTTTCTGACTCTTACACTTGACCACGTATATGGAAATGGTTGGTTTTCACTTTTCCTCCAGCTCAAGGGCAGAAACTGTCTTTCATCTTCAAATTCCTTTTTATATGGAAGTTGCTGAGTACATTTTTCTTGAATGGATGAAACATCAAGTAGATAGAAGTACAGATGGGCAGATGGGGGGAAGAATTATTCCTTCATAATGTGACATTAATGTGGGCTACCTAATTAGAAGAAATCAGAGCAGGAGTATATATGTATGTATGTATTTAAAGATTTATTTGACACACACACACAGGGAGAAAGAGAGAGAGAGAGAAGTGCATGCTCAAGGAGAGGGGCAAAAGAAGAGAATCTTCAAGGAGACTCCCCATTGAGCACAGGGCCTTACCCAGGGTTATATCCTATGACCCATGAGATCATGACATGAGCCAAAACCAAGAGTCAGATGCTTAACCAACTGAGCCACCCGGGCACTCCAGAGCAGGAACATTTAAAATAAATTAGTTTCATCCCAATCGTAAAGAGGTCCCTGTTACCAATATGATGTTATTTATAGACATTTACTTTTTTTAAATGCTTTTCTAATAAGAATAATTGGCACAATTTTCACTCGGGATTCTTGGGTGGTTTTTCCTTTGAAGCCTCCCCAGACCTTTGAAAGTTCGGTTTGTACAGCCATTCTCTTACACGTTCTTGCTCCCGGTCATTTCTGAGACTCCTAAAGTCAGATCAGTTTTACAGCAGATCCGCTTTTTTTCGTCGCAGCCAGGCGCTGGGAATTTGAATCCATGATGACACTGAAGATGCGAGTTGAACGGCCCAGGGTCAGCTTGTCCGACCAGTGAGCTGCATTGTCTCTAGCTGGGGTCCACTGAGCATTTGTGCTTGTCTCTCCCTGCCCCTCTCAGGTCAGTCTAGAGCACGAGGAGCAGAAGCTGGAGCTAAAGCGCCAGCTCACAGAGCTGCAGCTCTCGCTGCAGGAGCGCGAGTCCCAGCTGACCGCCCTGCAGGCGGCCCGGGCAGCCCTGGAGAGCCAGCTGCGCCAGGCCAAGACAGAACTGGAAGAGACGACGGCGGAAGCGGAAGAGGAGATCCAGGCGCTCACGGTAGGTCTGCGGACAGGTCCCTCCAGGCTCCTCCAGACCTCAGTTGGGACGAGTGTGGCACTGAGGAGATGTGCTCACTCAGAGAAATCCCAAGACAGAAAATCTCCCCAGAGATGCTTACAGGCCAGAAAACTGGCTTCCCTGAGAATTCTCCTTCGTGAGAATTAGCGTTAACATCTGACCTTTTCTTAGCGTGTTGGAAAAGTCCCTCCTTTCTTTAGGTATCTTCCCTCTTTGAAAAATAATTGTCATTAAATTTAAAATTTTAGTTTGAACCGAGGTCATTTCCCTGAATCTTCTGCTTAGTTTTCAGTGATCATTAAAAAAATAATAGTCTTATATCTTTGAGTCTTCTTCCTACCACATTTCTATTTTTGTACTGGTTAACCTCGTTTGCATTACTTTTTTTTTTTTTAAGCTGTAAATTCTCCTTCAAGTCTTATGTATGCATCTAGTGTATGTTCTGGATGGAAAAGATTGTTCTGAATGAGAGATTCTTTTCTCTAAGAAGGACCTGGCTTCTTTGCTCTTTCTGAGACCGTAGTTTAAAGAAGTAGAACTTGGTGAGTAGGCGAGGGTGTCCCTGGATTTAGACCTTGGTTCTTTCTGGAAGTCTAAAGATATGACTTTGTCAGTTTCCCATAGTTGATCCCTCTCATGGACACTGACCCAGGCTAACAAAACTGACAATCTTACTTATAAAATGACAACTTAACAACTCACAGTGGAAAATACAACCACCAAGTTGACTGGGATGCTATGGCTGGCTCATTTTCCCAATTTTTTTGTCCTTCAGAGAAGTCTCCTTAAAAACCTCATTTCCCTTCAAAGGCTGCTTCGTGGACCTGGACCTGGCACAGAAAACCGAATGAGTTTAATGGCTAGTAGCAGCCAAGTAGATCCATTGCTAATAGTAACACAGTGTACTTGCCAAGTGGATAGGCACAGTCATGCCTGCTGGTCAGGGTACCCTCTTCCGTGAGCAGGGCACAATGCAGCTGATTGGGTTTTGTGTTTTCTAAAATGAGGTACCTAGGTGGGGTACTCACTCTGATTCATCTTGGATACGGTCCTCATTTCTATCAGTGAACATCTCTAAGCATGTAGAGTGGGGTTACTTCTACAGATGGCCGTGAACAGTCGTTGCTTATGATATATCCTGTTCAAAAGTAATGCATATGTATGTATGTTTTAAAAACGGTCTTATTCTTAGAAGTTACCTCCCAGTGTTGGTTTCGGGAAGCCCATTATCTGAACCGATTGGGAGCATGATCTCAGTGCCAGGGTCTTTATGGACTAGTCTAGAACACGGAGGCTTCCAGCATTCTGGGATACAGGGTCATTCTGAAGGCGCAAGTGCATCTTTGATTGTCCAGGACTTATGCCAAGGTCTGTTATTGATTGCAACCTTAATTCCTCAGTGAGAACACTCACTGTGTGCTATGCCATGAGCCCCCAATACATGGTTTGGAAAAGAATCAGTCACGATATCTCTTTATTTATCCTCTGCCTTGTATCTTTCCAAACTGTTCTGAATCCATTTCGAAACAAAACAGTATAACAAGATAAAATAAGAAGGAAAAGGCCAAGAGAAAATAAGTCTAGAGAAGAAAAATATGGAGATAGGAATGAAATGAATATAAAAGAATGCATGCCAAGAAGGCGTATGTGCTTTCTGGAATTGGGTGGATGGGCAGAGGGACAGCCAGATAGCATTTCTTAGCTGCTTAAGGAGGCATCTAAAATCCAGCTACTATTAAACTGAATGCACTGTATACTAATATCTTCTCCCCCTGTCCAAACCAGCCACGCTCTGAAAGAAGAAGGAGACATCACTAATCTTACCCATACTTAATGAGTCCTTGCCATGTGCCTAGTGCTGTGTCTTTAGCCTTTTCTCCCCTGGGGGTTGGCCTGTAATCCCTCAAATCCTTTTACTTCCGAGCAGAAGAGAAGGACACATTTATCTCACTGCTCTGTTGGAGTTGGGAGGGAGGGTGGTCGGCATGCATCTTATCCTGCCCATTCAGAAGGAGGAGGATATAAAATAGAGCATGTGTCACTGCTGTTTATCTGTGGGGAAATTAGTCTTTAAATCCTGTCTTGCTGCTGGTTGGAATGTGCTGTGTCTAATGGCTGCTGGAAGCCTTCACAGCAGCAAGTCACGACTTAATTTAGTCCGATGAGATCACTGCCTCAGAGCATCTTCTTATGAAAAAAATAAAGAAACAAACCTCCCTGAGTCTAGGAACTAGGGCCCTACCACTCTTGCAGATGAAGATGCCTGGGAAAATAGGGCTTTTTCAAAGGGATGGCAGGAAAAAAAAAAGCCTCACTGCAGTTTTGTAACTTGTCATGCAAGAATCCAAATCCCATATCAACTTGCCTCAGCCCAGTTTTGAGGCTGTGGGTTTTCCTCTCCCCTCCCTTTGATTCTGTTTTATAAACCTGGTTATGGACTGCATGCAGCTGAATGGCTTTGTTGAATTTGTGCTGGAGACTCTATTCTTCTGAGTGAAAGAGGACATGGCCACAGGTGCGGTACCCTGACTCTGTCTCATTGTTCAGGCCCCACAGAAGCATCCGCCATATTAAATCAGGTGGATCTAGAATGATCGAGGAGGTTTACGAACTTCATAGCAGGCTGATTTATCATTTAAAAGGAATGAATAGTCAAATGGGCTATTACTGCTGAATTTTAAGGCTGTCATCTCCTAGCCAGGGGAGGGAGCACTTACTCTGGCCTCTGCCCCTGGAGCAATTAGATGGAGCACATTTCCGTCAATGGTCTCCATTGAAGAAGGGTGCCCGGGCCCACTGGGAAGCCAATTGTGGTCTCCTTGATGTTTTCTTGCTACCCACTCCCGTCCGTTGTGTTTGCCTGGAGATTCACTGGCCATCAAAAGCTGAGAATGAATCAAGGTGGAGGCCAACAGGAGAGTCATATTGAAACAAAACGCCAGGCCTTTACGGTGTTTCATTGCCTCTTGGTGGAAGAAAGGATTTTAAGACTCCATCCCTTTATCTAAGGAAGAGAATCTGATTCTGCACACTATAAAGCAGACAGATGTGTGATATGATACATCACTCTGGATGGGGCCATAGGGTAGAGGCCCTGGGCGTAGGCTCTGTGTATACCAGCATGGCCCCAGGACACACTCTTCCGTGTCTGGGTCCTTGCCGTCATGTTCTTTTACTGATTTGGTTAAATGATTAATGCTGAGTAACCAAGAGTCTAAAGCTAGAGACACCAACGAAAGGAACCCTCCCAGCATGGTGTGGCCGTGGGATCACAATGTTGTCCTCTGATTTGTTAAAATCATGAGTCATGCATACTCTCATTTGTTTTACATAACTATCAATGTCTGTATTTAATTAAGCAAGCCACTGGCATGATGAACAAGATCTAAAATTAAGGCATAGGAGGTGACAGTCTTTCTTGGTACGCGCATTCACAGGGAAAGGGATGGATGTGTGGAAGCCTGAGTGTCCTAGAACCCTGCTCATGAATCCCAGAAGATGGTCAGACGTCTAAACATTAGTTTCCTTTCTCTGGTTCTGCAGGTACTTCTCTGTCATCAAGACTGCATTATAATCCTCCTTTCTTTCTTCCTCTTATAACTCTCTTTAACATTAATGAAGACATAAGTACTCCTCAAAAAACAGTGCCTTTCCAGTGTTCAGGATGCAGCTTGTGCATTCTCCCTGACTGCCTCCCAACCCTAAGGTCAGCGGTTCTCAAAGTGAGATTGGTGGATCCCTGGGGGGTTCCCCAAATTCGGATTATTTTCATAATAATACTAATATGTCATTTGGCATTTTTCATTGTGTTAGCCTTTGCACTGATGGTGCAAAGCAGTGTTGTTTTAAAAGAAAGAGTAAAGATTTGGGAAAAAATCTCCATTTTAATTTTTAAAGTGGTAAATATAGATAAATGTAACACACATAAACAAAAGCTCTTCAGGGTCCTTTGAAGAGTGTAAATATTTATTCTCTGTAGCACCTGATACCTAGTGAACACTCAAATATTTCATTGAGAGAATCTAAAGACTATCTTACGCATTTTACTATCTTTATACACATTATTGTGTAAACTTTAGCTTTTTTGTGCACTTGTTTCACAACGTATTTCAAAGAAACGTAAGACATGTTTCTTGACATTTTCTTGCTCAGATCAGTTCAGTAATTGTTAAGTGCTTATAGAATCTCCAGCAGTCATAACAGGATCCGTTCTACATTTTGTCTTTATAATTCAGAGTCAGTAATAAATCAAAAGCCAAAATGATGGTACTCTATTACATTTTACCTTCAAAGAGGATTGCCATTTGATTTCAGTGGTAGTGCGATGTTCCTACTTTGGATAAATGGTATTCATGCCCCATTAAATCAATAAATCTCTCATATTATTCTTGAGCATAAAGCAGATTGATTTGGGGGGGAAAATAAGAGTCTGATAAGTTATCCATAAAAATACAGGCTGATGATGTGGGGAGTTGATTCTTGATGATAACTTTTATATTTATGAATCTGTGAGTCTGTTTTTGTAACTTTTTTTTTTTTTTAACCATTTTCCCAGTTCTCTCCATTCTTTTGTGTGGATTTATATTTCTGGTTGTCACTTTCCTTCTGCCTGAAGGACTTCCTTTACCATTTCTTACAGTGCGGGTGACAAATGCCTTCTGCTTTTGTATATCTGAAAAAGTCTTTTACTTCACCTTCATTTTTTGAAGGATATTTTTGCTGGGTATAGAATTTAGGTTGACAGGTTTTGGGGTTTTGTTGTTGTTGTTGTTTTTCCATTCAGCACTTTAAAAATGTTATTCTACTGTCTTTCAACTTGCTTTGCCCCCTCCCCTCCCTCTTCCCCCTGGTGAGGAATCTGTCTTCTCTTTGTTTCTCTATATATAACTTGTCTTTTTTCTCTGACGGGCTTTAAGCTTTTTCTCTTATTACTGGTTTTTAGCAGTTTGATAATGTGGTTAAGCTTAATTTTGTGTTTCTTGTGCTTGGGGTTCTTTGAGCTTTTTGCATTGGTGGGTTTATGGTGGCCATTATTTCTTCAAATGTCTTTTCTGTCTGACCCCTATCCTCCTCCAGGGACTCCAATTACATGCATATTAGGCAGTTCAAAGTTGTCTCACAGCACATTGATACTCTGTTCATTTTTTAAAGTCTTTCTTTCTGTGTTTCATTTTGGGTAGTTTCTGTTGCTGTGTCTTCAAGCTCAGTAGTCTTTTTTTTTTTTTCAGCGTCTATCTGCTGTTATAAATTTATAATATTTATGGCAAAATAGATATGTTAGAGGATACATCACTGCTCTAACATTTTTTACTTTAGTTGTCTTATAGACCCAACAGAGACTAGTTTTTTTGTTTTGTTTTTTTAAAGAGAAGAATCGATTTTTCCCGTGCCTCAAATTAAATTCTTCTTTGGACTTTCATAGCTAAGCTGTGGTGCCACAGCCCACCCTGTCTCTCAAGTTACAAATGTTTTTGAGGGCATCATTTTCCCTTCATTTTCCAATATCTGTAGCAAGTCTTATTAACTGTGCTTCCAAAAGAGATCTCATTTCCATCCACTTCTCTCCATCTTTTGCCACCATCCTACTCCAAGCCACCATCATCTCCTCCTTGAATGACAGCAACAACCTCCTCACTGTTTCCCTGTTCCTTTCTACCTTCAGTCCTGTTTTGATCTGTTCTTCTTACAGCATTCAAAAAATGACAATCAGATCATTTCACTCTACTTCTCAGAATCTCCTTTGGCTTCCAATTAATGGTATTTTGCTTGAAACCCAAACTCCATTCCAGGCATTTAAGATTCTTGGTCCCTGCCTGCCTCTCTACCATCATCTTGGGTGGCTTTTTCCTTCTTTTGCTGTGCTTTAGCCAAAAATTGTTTGACCGCTACCCACCAAAAATACGTTTCCCTTACAATCTAATACAGGGGAGCATCTATATACTCTACTTCATTGATTCTAAAGTATTTAAAATCAAGATGCATCTTACAGTCATATCTGGTATATGACTCTCTAGTCATGTGGACATAAAGACATGTGGACATGTCACAATTTGGTCAACAGCACCTTGTTTTACTTAATGTCACAGTTTGGTCAACAGCACCTTGTTTTACTTAATGTCACATAAAATTGCCATGGCTTACAATTGACAGCATCCTAAATCTGATGAATTATGGTATTTGAAATAAAAGTTTCCTATAACAATACTTCACTATCCAGGGCACATCTGCATCCCACTGTTTTCTGTTCTATTCTGTTTATTCCATTTCATTGACTAAAACAAAACAAAACAAAAAAGAAAAAGAAAAAACAACCCATTTGTCACGCTTGCCCTTGGGTCATAGCTTGAAGTTTGAAAGCTCTGCTGTAGCCATTCAGACCTTTTTTTTTTTTTTTTTTTTAATCGAATTACAAAACCCTTTCTTGCTTCGAAGATATTTGCCCTCTGCCTTTTCCTGTTCTTTGTATGGCTGACTCCTCATCATATTATGGGTGTCAGTGTAAGTGTCACCTCTTCAGAGAAGCCCTCCTTGATTACCCATAAGGTCCTTTCCATCCCTCTTATCCTTTTTTCTTATACCTTGTTTGTTTCTTTCGTAGCATTTGTCACTGTTTGTAATCATGCCCTTGTTAACTTTCTCTCATTCCCCACTGAATGATGGTAATTCCACCTATGCTGTATGGCACCACAGGGTCTGGCCTATCAGGTGCACTCAGAAAGTCCTTGAATGTCAGCTGAACATTCTAAAATGCTGCAGTTTCAGAGCAGCTTTGCTTTGGAGAAGGCCTTCTTCTTACTTGAAGGTCAATGTCAGGTTTCTGAATCTCAGCAGCTTTTGATTAACAACAAAAAAGTCCCTGTTTGTCTTGGCTCTTGTTCTGTGTGTGTGTGTGTGTGTCTGCGTGCATGTGTGTGTCTCTCAAGGAGTAGGCTAGGGAGGGGCCAATTGGAAGGAAGAGGAAAAGGTTAAGAACGGGGAATAAACAAAGGAACAAGAGTAAAAACTATCTCCTTGAATTTCTTCTTTTTTTTACAAAGCCCCTGGGCATTAATATGAATGTTAAGATATTTGTACAGGGTATGCATGTGTGGTCTAAGTAGTCAAGTGTTATCAACACAACATCATATATTCCTGTAACTTTAATTTCTGATGTTGGACGTGACTTAATTAATTAGTTCTTTGAAAACCAGATGTTTGGGCAGCTGCAACAACCTTCTTGGCTTTCTAGGTAAATTGCTCTTTTCTTTATAAAACCCAAGCATGTAGAATTGTATCCTACACTATGAAAAATTTCTAATTGACTCCTTACCTTTTAGGCACATAGAGATGAAATCCAACGCAAATTTGATGCCCTTCGTAACAGCTGTACTGTAAGTATTAAATCTAAAGGTGATTAAAATAACACGAGACTAAAAACCGAGAGGGAAGAGCGAGCATCTCTTATAACATCAACTGACTCTTACAGACTTTCAGCCTGAAGCACACAATGGGGTCAAACTGATTTGGAGTTCCTGAGCCCCAGCTAATGCCAGTTTCTTGGGTTCCTGCCAGTTTAAAAAATTCTAAACCATTCTTTATTTTGGGGAAGGATGGTTGAAAAGGGGGAAATGGTTCTCACTGCATAGGCTTCAGTAGCTGCAACAAAAGTCCCAAGGCAGCTCCCTCTGCCGCCCCAGTGTTGAAGGTTCCAAGGCTGGTCCCAGCTAGACGCTGTGCAGACGCTGGGGGTGGTTGCCTCACAAGGCTTCTCCAGCCTGCTGCTGGAGAAGTTCTGTGGACCTAGAAATTTTAACTTCCTACTGGGCAAAATGAAACTCTATGGCTCTTTGGGAGATGTCATTTACATGGAGAGAATTAAATTCTGTGAGTGGAGAAGCATCATACATAGGTTATATGATGGGGTAGGGTCAGCGGGAGCTCACTCCTTCCCATTAGAACAAAGGACTGAAATAGGCCCCCTTTCAGAAGACAGGTTGTTATCCTATTCATGGTTCCACCTCCTTTCTTTGGTACTTTCATGGCTTTATTACCTTCTTAGTCCTCAGTGAACTTGTCTCCATTTGTGTTATTTGTATCTGTGAATTTCCAGAAACAACCCCACCATACTCCCCACATAAATCTTTTATTGTCTTGTAATGAACTCTTTCTTTCCTCTTCACCTCTAATAAATGGGACATTAAGTCTTAAGAGTGTATGCTTTCCCCCTTAATTTAGTTACAAAATCCACACTGTAAAATGCATAAAGTGCACTAATCTTATGGGTACAATTCAATGAAGTTCTTACACCATATAGACGATTGCGTAGCCACCACATAGATCAAGATCCAGAACATTTTCATGTCCCCTTCTTATCTGCATCCTTTGCCCAAAGGGTGACCACAGTTCTGACCTCTGATACCAGAGATCAGTTTGGCCTGTTCTTGAACTTCAGACAAATGGCATCATGGAGGGTATGCTTTCTTGGGCTCAGCTTTTTTTGACTTGAGTTGTCTGTGGCGTTTGTCAATGTGGTGGAGTCTGTCAAGAATCTGTTTCTTTTCATTAATTATGATGTAGTGTTGCCCCTGGACACATAGAACTGGAGTTTATTTATCAGTTCTACTGCTGGTGGGATTCAAACTGCTGCTGTAAGGAATGCAGCTGTCAGGAAGCACCATTGCATGAGTCCTTTGGTGGCCATAAGCACCTGTTTCTGATGCGCATATACTCAAGAGTGGGGTAGCTAGTAGGTCACGAGATATGCCTCTGTTTGACTCTAGCAGGTACCCGGCAGATGGATTTTTGGTCAGTATTTCCCGGTGCCAATGGCTGCCTCAGCGGTAGGCCCACCTTACAAGTGTCTCCCAGTTTCCTCCATTCTGCCTCTCTTCCTTGAGAAGCTGATGCGTTCTGTTGCTATACTCTTGGGCCCCCACTTTTTCAGTATCTTACTGTCTCTGTTTCATTTTCTTTTTAATGCACGAGTTATTTGCTTATATTACTTACATGCTCATAAATGATCACTGAATAAAACATAGTTCATTTTATGATCGTGATTTTTTTTTATATTACTATTTTTTCCTAAAATAACTTGGATACGTTTTAAATGTGTACATCGTTAATCCTTCATCTGGAGTTTTCTCTTTTTTTAGTCTTTTGGCATAACAGTTTTTTTTTAATTGAAGTATAGTTGATACACAATATTACATTAGTTTTTGGTCTATAACATAGTGATTCAACAACTCTATGTATTATGCTAGGCTCACCACAAGTATAGTTACCATCTGTCACCATACGATGCTGTGATAATCCCATTGATTATATTCCCTATGCTGTACTTCTCATCCCTGTGACTTAATCATCCCAGAACTGGAAGTCTGTATCTTCCATTCCCTTTTGCCTATTTTACCCATCCCTCCACCCCCCCTCCCCTTTCTGGCAACCATCAGTTCTCTGTATTTGTGGGTCTGCTTCTGCTTTTGGTTTGTTCGTTCATTTGTTTTGTTTTTTTAGATTCCACATGTAAGTGAAATCATGTGGTACTTGTCTATCTTTGTCTGACTTACTTCGCTTAGCTTAATATCCTCGAGGTCAATCCATGTTGTCACAAATGGCACAATCTCATCCTTTCTACATGGCTGAGTAATATTCCGAGTGTGTGTGTGTGTGTGTGTGTGTGTGAATTTCTCATTTTCATAAGAGCTTTTTTAAGAAACATTTTTATAGCTTTATTGAGGTTATACTTAAAGTACAGTAACTTCAAGAGTTTTGAAATGTGTACACAGTTGTGAAACCAGTAAGACAATCAAAATAATGAACATATCTGTTACTCTCAAATGTTTCCATCTGCCTCTTGGTAATCCTCCCTCCCCCAGATTTTAAAAATTAGAGATTTGTTTTTTAATAGAATATGCCAATATGTAGAATGAATTTAGTTACTTTCTTATGTAACTTTTATATTCTCTCGATCCCTCACATTTGCTTTTTTGAGGGGGGAGCGGTGACTTCTAATCCTTGCTTTACTTACTTCTGGCATTCTGTGGAGAAGACTTTGGACCTCTCCCAGTGGAAGGGAGAACACGAAACAGTGACACCCCCCCCAATACTTCAGCTAGAGCTGCTGGGTTGCTTGTGGTCCAGCCATGCACTCTGGAGTCAGATTGAGTTCTGATTCGAAATTGGCCTCTTTGTAACCTCTGTAATGTTAAACATCCACGCCTCCATCTGTTCACCTGTAAAATGGCGCTGACATCGTATATTCCCCATTCCAATATATTATCAATTATAAGATGCATAATTCATTTAATAACTACTCTATAGGGGCTTGGTGAGGGCAGAGACACAGCTGCTTAGTTCCAATATATGTTCACATTTCAGAAGCAGTAAAACTTAGGAGACACTAATTCACAGAATCAGAAGTTTGGTGCTAATGCCTACATCATGGGGGTCCTGCAAGAATTAGATGAAGCCTCCAAGTGATTACACAGGGTCTGGTCCATAGAAAGTGTTGTTTACAGTATGGGTTACTATTAATATTTTATTATATTGGGTTTGCGACATATTCTTTTGTTTAGGAAATGGTCTGCCCCTTTAAAAAGTTTGAAAACCACTGCTTTAGGACAGCATTTGGCAGCAAAAGAGACCCCTGTTACAGTTTTTCAACTTCAAAGACCCTTGATGGGTGTTTCTTTCTTACTGGCTCAATCTGAGATCGTCTCTGCACGGAGACGTCATCTTCGTCGCTGGTGGGAACTCCTGTAATAACTCAACGATAGGAGCTCCCAGTTAGCAGCTTTTAAAAAGCTCCTAAGCAGTAAGATTTTCCAGCTCAGACCATTTCTATATTTTGACGAGATGTAAAAAAAGGATTTGATCCAATCTGGCACCTAAAACCCTACCTAAGTCTGTTTTGGAGGGGAGTTGGTGGGCAAACATATGACACAGTTTTAATTATGAATCAATCTGTCAGCTATAAGATTAAAAATAAATAATATGCAAATAGCTGTCTTCAAGAAGGAACCAGACATTCCGGTAGGACTTCAGCCCTGTGTCTTTTTAGCCTGATGCTCCACATCTGGCTGGTTTCTTCACCCACCAGAGTGCTCTTGAACATTTACCTGGTAACCTTCTCTCTACTGGTCTTCCCGTCAGGTGTGAGAGGTAAAGAGTTCTTGCTCAGAACTGTCAGGTTTCCTTGAAAAGCAACATATAACCCCAAACAGATCTCCCTCTCTCTCTCTCTCTCTTTTTTGGACACTGACAGTAGATCATTTTTTATATCCTTATTTCCTCTTAGAACTGCATCACGATCTCTTATCTGCAAAAACAGCATAGAAGAGCGCTCTGTTGGCCCTGCATTAGGAAGCTGTCTCCCTCCTCTTCTCACTGCTAAGATGGAGTCAGCCTTCCAGTTTCTCTTCTTTACCCTTTATCCTTGGGGTTGGAGGTTAACAAACTCATAATAGAATGAACATATCATTTGCCCTTGAGGTAGAGAGGATACACCCATGGACACATGGGAGACCTAAGAATTCTCCTTGCACATTCCCTGGTTCAGCATCACAGATTGCCTATCACAATACTTAAAAGAATTTTTTTGAATTGTGGAGACCATTAATTTTCTGCCTGTGTCCCAAGTCAGTTCAATATCTGTAAACCCAATAAATGTGTGTGTGTGGATGTGTGTGGGGGTGTCTAATGCTAATACTTAATACCCCAATGCCAGCAACCTCAAAATAAAATCACAAGCTAAACATATTATGGCTTGGGCAGAAGGAATATATAAGAAGTCTGGATGAGTTAAAATGCTTTAATGAGTGTTTGGGTGCTTCACACAAACATGTAAGCCTCCTCTTGACAAACCGGCAAAATAGAGAGGGTAGAATATAGAACCAACAGCCACAGACTGTAAGTAGAGATCAGAGGTGTGAGACCCCTTGAAAACTGGATGACAATAGGGGACTAGAAGGATGCCTCCCACTCCAGTGGGCCCATCGCAGATGAAGTGAGAATCATAATCTTGGCACATCATTGAGCTTTTCAAGCATTTCTTCCTTAGCACTTTATAATCTGTTTTGAAGGGAGAAGAGTTAGCAGAAATGGGCTAATAATAAATTGCAATTTTCCCCCCATAAATCATAGAAACGGAGTGAGAACCCAAAGGCTCAGTTATATCTTCAAGTGACGAGTAAATTATTTTGGCCACATGTATATTATGTGAGCAGATTTTCTGTAGTCTCTTTGCTCTGCAAGAGGTACCATGATAATCTTTAAAATGAGGCATTGTCTTGGTCATTAATTTTTTATCCCTTGTATCCTTATATTCCACAGGCTACATTAAGGTAGAGCAGTATGAAAGAACATTCAAAACATTAAAAAAAAAAAGAAAGAAAGAAACAGGAGGTAGTAAATACAGTATTTACCTCCATATCATAAATGAAGACCCCAGCCCTGCAAAGTTCAGGATTTAGGGCTTCAGACTCCAAGCTCCAAGGCCAGCTTGCCTCTGTTTTTTTTTGGTCGGGGACAGGGAAGGACATTAGATTGAAGCATAATAGTTAAATGGAGGCATTTACAGTCCAGGATGAAAACTATCTTAAGGAATGGCTTTATTACATATAAGATGGAGACCAGTTGAACTATTGGGCATCATTCATTCCTTCTTTCTGCTTTTAGGAGATTTAACCATGTCACCCAAAAGGGTGATCCAAGGATCCCTTTGAGCCATAACTGCCCACTAGGAATGACAAACTTAAGAGTTTTTCACCTCCATTTTCCATGATAAAGAAGGAGTCCTAGCTAAGGACCCAACCAGATAACCTTCATTCCCCATCTTGTAACCAACGGTGCTTTAGGAGTTAACAGGACTTTTGACATTAAAATACAAATTACTAGACCACTTAACTACATTAAAAGCTTATCAGCTCAGTTAACAAAATGAAAAGCTCTGTTTTCTGAACCACATTGCACAAATGTCCTTAATTGATGCTCTTTAATTCTATGTGCCTGGTAAGATTTTTTAAAAATTGATAATCAAAGGGGTTAAAATAGGGAATTAGTCATGGAAAGAGTGGCATCACTTCCTAAACTAAGTCTACTCTAGGTTTGGAAATTGGAAACAATTAATAAACTGTAGGCTTCAAGGCATTTCCTTTTAATTTACTTCTTTTTGTTACATAAAATTTAATTTACTGCCTGTGTGCCTCATTCCAACTATTATTAGAAAATTGCCCTTAAACTTCGAAAGTCTTACATACAATAGCTCTCTGCAAGCCTGATACTGAACCTTGGAAAAGAGAATAGGGAAGCTAAATGCACTGAAATCAAAGTCATTCTGCCATTGAGCAGAGAAATAATTTAGCAAAGCCAGATTAAATCTCTCAATAAAATGACAATTTCATATACATGCCTTCCCATTTTTTGATAGCTAACTGTATAATAAAAAACATTAAAGTGATGCCATGGCACAATGTTTTCAGGATTATTCTGAGCTTCCTTTAAATTTTTCCCTTTTGTTGCATGAAATTAAATTTATTGCCGAGGTATTAAAATAACTCTCAGTGTCCTTCTCAGTCAGTCCTCCTCGATAAAAACTTCTTGCTTTCTAAGACTATCCCTGGTTCTAATGTCCTGTGGATGGTGCTGTTTAATTAGCTGATCGTGATGCTACTCTCTGAGACGCCTGTCCTTGGCTTGCATTTTCCACATTATATTATCGTCCATTAACTTGATCCCATTTCAAGTTGCCGCTTCCATACGACAGTCACTTTTGACAGATCTGCTTTTGCCATGTCTTCCAGATGGTTCCTGAGGGAGAAAGAATCAGAGACTTTTCTTTTTCCACCACAGCATATGTGTGGTAGTGCTGAGTGGGCGGGCATGGGAACTCGGCTTTGGCAGCCGGGGTTGGCTGAGCAAACGGAAGTGGCACGTGCATTGCTAGTGTCACGTAGGTTCTAAAATCAATGGCTCTAGTAGCAGTTCTCATTTCAAATGGACTTGCTCGATGCACAACTGGGTTCCATTCCTCTTTAGGTAATCACAGACCTGGAGGAACAGCTAAACCAGCTCACTGAGGACAATGCTGAGCTCAACAACCAAAATTTCTACTTGTCCAAACAACTCGACGAGGCTTCCGGCGCCAATGATGAGATAGCACAGCTGCGAAGCGAAGTGGACCATCTTCGCCGTGAGATCACGGAGAGGGAGATGCAGCTCACCAGCCAGAAGCAAGTAAGGGCAGTAAGCAGTGTCAGGGATCCCTGGCACACTTGGATCCCGTTAGAGCGGGCACCTGGTATACCTCTCCCAAGGGATCCGAGACTGAGCCTTGTCTCTTAAATGGGCTCTTTTTCATCACATGTCTGTTTTGAGGGCTTGGGGGTTTGGAAAAAGTAGTTTTTAGAAGTGTGTTGTCCTCTTCATTTGGATTTTTAAAAAAGTAAAGATAAAATAGAATGGTCTGGGAGGCTAGTGCAAGTCCCTTGATTTTTAAGCGTAGTCTCTTCCCCCTTGGCTTGCTTTGGGTTCTATCTTCAAGGTGGTGGCAGAAATGGCCCTTTATCCAATCCTGTCTGGTCCCCTGGGTCTACAGAAGAAAGAGATACACTGTGGTTCAGACTGTAGTTAGAAACTTGTGCTTTTCTGACACTGATCCAACAAAAGTAACATCCAGGAAATCCTCATTTGATACAAGGCACAACTCAGTGGTACTGATTTGCAGACGATGGAGGCTCTGAAGACCACTTGCACGATGCTGGAAGAACAGGTCATGGACCTGGAGGCCCTGAACGACGAGCTGCTGGAAAAAGAGCGGCAGTGGGAGGCGTGGAGGAGCGTCCTTGGCGACGAGAAGTCCCAGTTTGAGTGTCGGGTTCGAGAGTTACAGAGGATGCTGGACACCGAAAAGCAGAGCAGGTGGGACTACCTATTTGTAGAAAGCCATTTGTGGGATCACCTAAGCATTAGGAACAGTGTGACCAACAGTCCCAGCTTGCCCAGGACTGAGAGAAGTTTCTAGCATACAAGACTTTCAGTGCTAAAGCTGGGAGACTCTTGGGCAAACCACGGTGGGTTGGTCATCCTAGTTGGAAATATGGCCACTGTCCCTTGGATTCTGTGTTGAAAGCTGGTGTCCTTTTACCCCATGTGGAGACCTGAGAGTCAGCAGGGCAAATAGCTCAGTGCTTCCTTGGCAGAAACTCTTACCTTGTGTTTGTTATCATTGTGACCATGTGGCAAGACCATCTCCATTCTAACCCCGGTCCTGTGTACACCAGGGTTTCTCAACCTCATCACTATTGACTGTTTGGGCTAGATAATCCCTTGTTGTGGGGGCTGTCGTGTGCCTCGTAAAATGTGAGCCTCATCCCTGCTTTTACCCACTAGATGCCAGTAACAACCCCTTCCTCACGTTGTGACACCAAAAATGTCTGCAAACATTGTCCAATGTCCCAGGGGGGCAGCATCAACCTTGGTTGAGAACAACTTCTCTACAAGAATAGTTGAGCTTTTTTCTTTCGTGGTAGGAAATAATAAGTTCAAGCAGGATCTTTCCTCTGCTTTCCCACTTCCATTTCCAAAGTCAGAATCCTCTTCCTACTGGGACCATGATAGTGCAGGTCACATACTTCCTACCCCTGGGGGTTGCCTTTCACACTGCAGACATGGCCGATGGGAAGAAAGGTTATGACAGCTTTACAGCTGCAAAGTGTTTGGTTCTAACAAAATGGGTCTATTATGACAGTTTACCAGCAGATAGAAATAAATGGTCTTGAAGAATAGGTCTCATTTTCCAGTGTGCACGTAAGAGTTAGCTCATGACTTCATGTGTGCACAAATGAATTGTATCCTTCCTTCTTAGCCTCACTCATATCACCTTCCTCTGAGACTGACCTTCCTGGGATACTCTGAACTCCTTAACTGAGATAAACTATGCCTAGAAACGCCTCTCACAAAACATTTAGTTGGATACCATTGGACTCATTTTGGCATTTCCCACATTGACTTGACCACAGTACGGTAGACTCAGCCAAATGTGTTGGATGTTTAATGTGTGCTAAGTCACTTACACTAGAAAAGATTGGAGGCAAAAGATGAGACTCCTTCCATTTCGAGAGACACTGGTAGACCTACTCATATTTTGGATATTCTCCCACTCGGTATTTGCTCAGGTGACGGGCTGCCAGTTTAAGACCTCCTGTTCCTCTTTCCCCTGAGCCTTCATGGTATATTCCAGTTGCTTTCACGCAGACCCCCTCCCTTCTGCCCTCAAGTGCAGCTCCTCTCCGAGCTGTTTCTAGAATCCCTCAGAGACCAATTTGAGGGTCGGAAGCTGACTTCAGCATCGAGAAACATGCAACTCCACATGGAAGGTATAATTATGGGCTGTGCTTAGGAAGACATTTCATGTATACTTTCAGGGACAGTTGTGAAAGATCTTGGCTTTTCTTCTCTCCCCCCACCCTCCCCGCCCCTCTATTTTGGTGTTACGTGGGATACCGAGATGAGTAAAATATAATTCTTAATTCTTCTACTCAAGAGGCAAGTCTCATGGAGAAGATGAATTATGCATTCGGGTATTTACCACCTCAAATAGAGAGTGGGGTGTGCCAGGAGAGGAGTACGTTTATGCTTTGGATCTAGAGCAAGGAGAGCTTCCTTGCGAGAGGAGAAATTGAGCAAGGTTTTAGGGAGAATGTGGTCTTTTGAGTTCATCCTTGAAGGCTGAGTAAGATTTGGGTTTGCAGGGTAGGGGAGGTAGGGGAGGTAGGGGAGGAGAGCGCGGGCCAGTACAGGAGACTGTATAAGCCCAGGTATGGAAGGACCAAAGCACAACACTTAAATGGGGAATGGCAACAATTTTTCTAGCTTAGTTCTTGTTTTTTCTATTTTCTAACCTTATTTATAGATAGATTCATCAGATTCGAGTTTCAGTTTCCTAATGAGCACCCCAAACATGTAACTTATTGTTTAGACTTTTAAGGAGAGGAAATGTTTCCTTGATTGAGTTTTCCTGTGGTCCCTCAGGGGACCTCATTCCATTTCTGCTCCCAGGGGAGGCTCTGACAGTCTAGCTACATCCCATTCAGTCCAGTTGTTTTTGGAAAATTGCCTTTTCCCCTTCAGCCTTTCCAAGTGAGTACTCATAGGAACTTTAACTATTAAGAGTATTTTTCCCCAAGGTCTAAAGTGGGTCAAATCTTCGCTCTGTAAGCAGTCAGAAAGCAAGACATAATTTGGAACTGGGAATCTGGGTTGGGCCTCTCTCCAGCCGGTAGCCTGTTTGGTTGCTTATCGAGATCAGAGATGGGCTCACTTCCTCCTTCTGGACTGGTGACTGGGGGGCTTCTGAAATGGGCCTGTGCTCTCCCGGCAGGGCGCGGGCCGACCAGCGGATCACCGAGTCCCGCCAGGTGGTGGAGCTGGCGGTGAAGGAGCACAAGGCTGAGATCCTTGCTCTGCAGCAGGCCCTCAAGGAGCAGAAGCTGAAGGCTGAGAGCCTCTCCGACAAGGTCAGCGCCCATCCCTTCTGCTTTTAGGAGGACATCTTCATCTCCCTCTTGTATTTATTTATTTTTTATTTTTTAAAGATTTTATTTATTTATTTGACAGACAGGTCACAAGTAAGGCAGAGAGGCAGGCAGGGAGAGAGAGGAGGAAGGAGGCTCCCTGCTGAGCAGAGACCGCCCCCCCCCGACGTAGGGCTCGAACCCAGGACCCTGGGATCATGAACCAAGCTGAAGGCAGAGGCTTTAACCCACTGAGCCACCCAGGCACCCCCATCTCCCTCTTTTAGAGGGCATAGTTGACCCATGCCCAGGTGCAATCCACGGTCTGCATATTTCACGAATGCACATTTACTCTGTCCTGTCAAGTCGCAGGGTCAGTCTCCACATGGGACCTCCTGGGTTGGCGAGAGCGTGGGAGGTGTGGTGGGGACTGGTGTGTCACGGTCTGTTGGTGACTATCCGGGCCCCTGAGGTCTGGATTCTGATCTGGCCACACTGCTTTCTCGTTTTCTGGGCACCTGATTTGAGATTTAATCTCTGGGTTGGTTGCAGGCTTTAATGTCGAGCATTCTTGGGAAGTGCTCAGCGGCAAGGACTAATGCTCCTTCCGTTGCTGCCACAGCGGATAGCCTGGCCTCTCTCTGTTCCGAGGCCAGGGCCACAAGAGAGTCTGATGGCCATGTGAGTCCTCAGTGTTCTATGTTGGAAATAGGCCGTGCCGTGTTCTGGAGGTTTATCTAAGTCTTGAAAGAGATTTCAAACAGATGCTCCAGTGTTCCAGATAACAAGAATGCAGATCAAAGAAATTTCATGTATAGACCCAGGCTCACACACACACATGCTTTTTCACAAACATATGCATAAAATAAAGCAAGAATCTGAATTTCATATTTTGTGTAACTCCTTGTTATTTCATGATTATAAAAGTAACTATTTGGGGTCACTGTGGCAGATCTAGAAACCAGGGAGAAATAAAGGAAAAGATGACTGGCAATCCACCACTGATCTATCAGAATAAATTTAGATTCTTATTATGTAAACAACTTTATAGCTTTAAAAAAAAACACCGTAGAACTAGGAGCTTTTTCCTCAGTTACTGACTGATCAGTGTTTTGAATGTGTAGTTCTTAAAAAAACCTCAACAACACAGAAATATCTATTTAATCATTTAATCATTCTACTTGTGTTGGAACTTTGAGCTTCTTTCGATTTTCTGCTGTGGTGTTATAAATCTTTATGGATACCCATGATTATTTTCTTATAAAAATAAAATTTCACGGAAATAAAATTATTGGATTCAAGGCTAGAGCTTGCCACTCAGGAGCACTCTGGAGTTCCTTGATACTGGCTTACTTTTTTTTTTTTTTAACCCATGAGGAAATTAGTATATTATTTAGAGGTAAAGGAACCCTTTTGTGATTGAATTTGAATATTTTTTTCTATTTGATTGTTCTTAGAGTATCCATAGCAAAGTTCTGCCCATCCTTTAAGATTCCAGACATTGGAGCGCCTGGGTAGCTCATTCGGTTAAGTGTCTGGCTCTTGATCTCAGCTCAGGTCTTGATCTCAGAGTTATAAGTTCAGGCCCCAAGTTGGGCTCCACGCTGGGTGCAGAACTCACTTTAAATAAAAAACAAACCTCACTCTAGACGTTGATGTAATCTTTTCTAGACAACTGGTAATTCAGGAAGACTTTCTCTTCTCCATACCCCTTTTATCAAAAATATTACGTGACAAAGCAATCCTCATTTGTGTACATGTCTAGTTATGGGCTGCTCTCTGCCTTTGGATTTTATATAAGATTCTTAAGAGAGTTCGTCCATTTTTTTTCATCCCCAAGAGCCCTGATGTAATGCTGTGCAAATAGTAAGCATTCAGCATTTGATTACTTAATTACTTTCAGTCAAAGTGATCATCCTTGTCTTAGAACTTGTCTAAGGCATGTGACCCATGCCTTAGAAATAACCCTATCCCCTGTGACATGGACCTTTGTGTTATACTTTTGGAAAACAATATTTATTTATTTATTCATTCATTTATTTTTTGAAAGATTTTATCTATGAGAGAGAGAGAGAGAGAGAGCATGGGCATGTGAGACTCCGCATGAGTGGGGGGAGGGGCAGAGGCAGAGGGAGAGGGAGAAGCAGACTCCTTGTTGAATGTGGGGCCCAATCCCAAGACCCTGAGATCATGACGTGAGCCGAAGGCAGGGCGCTCAACCGACTGAGCCACCCAGGCGCTCCTAGAAAACAATATTTATACTCTGATCTTCAGAACCTGATTCTTTATATTTGAAAATTTGTGGGTATTTGCAAAAGTCATCAGCATCTAGCATTCCTAAATATGATATTATGGCCAATTTTTCCAAATGCCCAGCTCAATGACCTGGAGAAGAAACATGCCATGCTTGAAATGAACGCCCGCAGTTTACAGCAGAAACTGGAGACTGAACGGGAGCTCAAACAGAGGCTTCTGGAAGAGGTGAGTCTGTGTGACACCTGAGAAACCCGGCCAGGTAGAATTCTGAAGGTGAAAATTTGTTGTGTTAAGTGATCAGATCCAGATCAGACATCATTGTTTTGAAGTTTGAGTTTTCAAGAAAGAGTAAAGTGGTCACTTAATACTTTTTTGAAGGCATTTACCATGTTCAAAGAACGTGTCACAAAGGCCAAAAGATCTTTGTCACTTGCATCCGCTCACGTGGTGCTTAAAAGAATGTTGAGCACCAATGAGTATGTGCCAAATGGAAGTTTGTTAAATAGACATACGGGTGACTGAATACTGAATGAAATTGTGCTTTTAGAGTTAATATCTAAGGTATACTTGCTTTTCGGGCTGATAAACATCTGTGCACATTGGCTTCACGCACAGGGCAGGGACTTGGCCAGATTTATGCTATGTACTAAATGTCATGAGGACTTTTCATCATCCATTTAATTCAGTTAAAAAAAAGTTAGGCCCTGCCTTTGAGACATGGAATGGAAAACTTCTGAACCCATCCCTTATATTATTTCCTGGACGTTTTAGCAGAAATCTGAAAGTCTCTCTTTAAGTTGATGACTACTTCGCACTCCCAACCAAAGCCCTCCCTTATATGTTGAATCACTAATGATTCTGCTTTGTTCATTAGAACTGACCAACCAGGACAAATATATTTTCTAAAGACATTTAATGGGAAACAGGACTCCAAGAATGTTCTGTTTAGCCCATAGTGAACCTGATAGTTCAATTAACCAGCTCACCTTTTCTGGTTAGTTGAGGTTTTATTATATGATGCCTCCCGAAGGACCCTGCTGATAGAAATAATATTGCTAAGCTATTAACTTTGAAAAGTGTGGTGAAAATTTCGCAGGTGCGTATGAAATATTTTACAGAATAAGACTGTAAAAAAAAATGGGTGGGAGTTTGGGAGTGTTCTGGAGATGGATGACTGTGACGGTTGCCTAACACCGAACATGTCCTTGGTGCTGCGGAACTGTCCACTTAAAAATGGTTAAAATGGTAAATTTTATGTATATTGTATCACAACAAAGATTTTACAACAAAATTAATCATATACACACAGGGAAGTTCACCAAAGGCAGGCTTAAGAACGCTGTCATAAAAATTTAAAGATCTACCTGGTGGTCAAGTAAGGAATGATGGTCTTTTATCTGGAATGAGTAGACAAACGCCCCCACTTAGGCACATGTTGGAAACAGAACAGAAATCATCAGTGATGTTGTCTGGTCCTATTTTCCTTCCGAAGAAAGAGAGTTGGTTCTGACAGCTCGACACTTTGGTCCAAGGTTACATGGTGACTCAGTGACAAATCTTGGAATAGCAGGCTGGGATCCTGATTCAGTCCCCTCCTTCTCACTTCCATACGACACGAGAACATTTCCAGCTTCCCAGTCTGTGCCTCGCAGATAGAGTTTTGAGCACAGACATCTGGCTGACACTGAGTTTGAGGCAGATTTCACTGACAGTTGAAACCATTATGAAACAAAGAATGATATTTATCGTTCAGGATGTGGCTAGGACCCCTGGGCCTGCTGTGCACTTTTTTATAACCATGTGACCAAGGGCTTAACCTGAGTGTTCTTTTTTTTTTTTTTTTTTTTGATACTTTTATTTTTTTTAAAGGGGGGGACGCCTGATTAATTATCATCACAGTGAAAATATAAAACATTTTCATCATCCAAAAAAGTTCCCTATGCCTCTTCTAGTCAATACCTTCTCACCCTGGCCCCAGGAACCCACGGATCTGCTTGATTTTTGTCACTACTGATAGCTTTTCTTTTCTAGAATTTCCTAGAAGTGGAGTCATACTATATATACTCCTTGTATCTGAATTCTTTATTTTTTTTTTTTAATTTTTAAAGATTATTTTAGAGAGAGAGTGTGTGTGAGTGGGGTAGGGGCAGGGGGATACGGAGAGAGAGAATCTCAAGCAGACTCCCCATTGAAGATGGAGCCCAACTTGGGGCTCCATTTTGTGACCCTGAGCTTATGACCTGAGCTGAAACCAAGAGTCAGACGCTTAACTCACTGAGCCACCCAGGCGCTCTTCGATTCTTTGGTTTAGTTGAGCATGTTTTTTGGGATTTATCTGTGTTGGTGAATGCACTAGAAGTTCATTGCTTTTTATTACTAAGCAGTAATTCATTGTATGGGTATACCATAATTTATCCGCTCCCCTGTTGATGATCCTTTGAATAGTTTCCAGTGTTTAGTTATTATACATAAATCTGCTGTGAAAACTTGTGGGCAAATCTTTGTGTAGATATATTTTCATTCCTCTAGAAGGAGCATTGCTGGATCCCACGTATAGGTTGATAACCAAGTAGTTGTTCCAGTTTGCACGCCCAACAGCAGTTCCAAACTGTAATGCTTGGCATTGTTTAGTCTTTCTAGTGTGTCAATTACAATATCACATTGTGGTTTTAATTTGCATTTTTTTAATAATGAAAGATGATAAGTATCTTTTCATGTCTTTGTCATTCATATGTCTTTTGGGAAGTGTAAGTTCAAATCTTTTGGGTAATTACTTCTGAGTAAAGTTGTTAGGATTTTTATTTATTTATTTATTTATTTAAAGATTTTATTTATTTATTTGACAGACAGAGATCACAAGTAGGCAGAGAGGCAGGCAGAGAGAGAAGGAGGGGAAGCAGGCTCCCCGTGGAGCAGAGAACCCGATGTGGGGCTCGATCCCAGGACCCTGGGATCAGGACCTGAGCCGAAGGCAGAGGCTTTAACACACTGAGCCACCCAGGTGCCCCAAAGATTTTTTGATACTAACTCTTTGCCAGATATATGGATGGTAAATCTTTCACCCAGTCTGTAGCTTGTGTTGTCTTTTAAAACAGTATCTTTCAAAGTGCAAATGTTCTTAATTTTTATGAAGTCAGATTTATCAGTTTTTTAAAAATGGCTTGTTTTCTGTGTCCTAGTTAAGAAATCTATGCTTACCCTAAAGTTGAAGATATTTTCTTCTCTCTGTACTCCTAGAAGTTTTATAGTTTTAGCTTTCATATGGAGATCTAGGATGTATTCTGAGTTTATTTTTATGTATGGTATGAGAGGACAGGTTCACTGTTTTCCATAGAACTATCCTGTTACTCTGGTACCATTTGTTAAAGACTCTTTTCCTTGTTAAATTTTCTTTCTTTCTTTTTTTTTTTTTTTTAAGATTTTATTTATTTATTTGACAGAGAGAAAGAGAGCACAAGCAGGGGGAGAGGCAGAGGGAGAGGAGAAGCAGGCTCCCTGCAGAGCAGGGGAAGCCCGATATGGGACTCGATCCCAGGACTCAGGGATCATGACCTGGGTTGAAGGCAATGGGTTAACCAACTGAGCCACCCAGTTGCCCCCCTCGTTAAATTTTCTTTTTACAAAGTCATCTACATGTCTATCCTTGTTCTGTTACCAGACCATCTGATTATAACACATCTTGAAATCAAGAGATAGTGTAGTGTGTGTGTGTGTTATCTGATAAGTGTCCTCTTTAATCCCCATCCCCTATTTCTCCCATCCTCCCACTCACCTCCCCTCTGGTAGCCATCAGTTTGTTCTCCATAGATAAAGAGTCTGTTTCTTGTTTTTCTCTCTTCCCTTTTTTGTAGTTGCTCATTTGTCTTCTTTCTTCAGTTAACCCAAGTGTCCTCTTCAGGAGGTACAGAGACCTATAAAGGGGGCCAGAATCACGGCCTCAGAATTGGGAAGAGTTTTTTTTATGTCATGCAACCCAAATTCCCAGCCCTTGTTCCATTGTTCTCTTCATCCCTGCCCCTGGCAGATTTTGCTAATGGACATTTCTTCTAAATCTTTCCTCTTGGGCCCAAAATGGCTTCAGAACCTTTTTTGACATGGCACTTGACAGCCACTATCAGTCCATTGGAAGTCATGACAAAGATGAAAATCCATTTGCTAATTCTGGTCAAATTAACCTAAGGCAGAGAGAATCCCTTCCCCAACATTCCCCACCAGTGCACCTGGCTGGACCTCAGCCTGAGTGCACAGTGTTTTTGGATATTCCAACCCACTTTTTCCAGTAAATTTAATTCTCAGGAAGTCCTGTCTTATTTTGAATTAAAGCTTGTAACTTTCAGCCACTGGTTCTATTTCATTGGAACATTTGAAAATAGAGCAGTCTGATATTAAAGAGAGTAATGCTGATTAGTGATCAAATTACTTAATGGATAATTTAAAAAATAATGCTTCCTTAACAACTGCTATGTGCCAGGTGCCCTTCTGCGTACTTTCCATGAATTGGCTCCTATGTGACAGTTCTATGAGGAAACTACTTCTTTTATCTCTGTGACGGTCACTTAGATATCTAAGTCGCTCTCCCACTCCAGACTGCCCTGCCTTTCCTAAGAGAAACATTTCAAGTCCCTCCAAGTTTGAAATGTTCTTTTCTGGTAGATTTATCTTTCCAAAGAGACTTTCTAGAAGCCCGCATGGTCTGAACAACATGGAGTACTGTGGGACATCTCCAGTTCCATTCCAAGCTCTATAAGCCTCTGCCAATTACCCTGGGCTCTTTGGGTACCTTTGTTGCATCATTGACACCCACTGACCTGTTACATGGCCACCAACCGTTCCATAGATTTGGGTTTTTTTTTTTAAATAAACATCTTTATATTCTGTTTATCAGTCAATGTTTTGTGTTTTTTTTTGTTTTTTGTTTTTTAAGATTTTATTTATTTGAGAGTGATCATGAGCAGGGCAGGGAGGAGCAGAGGCAGAGGGAGAAACAGACTCCCCACTGAGTAGGGAGCTCGACACACACCGGGCTGGATCCCAGGACACCGGGATCATTACCTGAGCCGAAGGCAGACGCTTTACCACCGACGAAGCCATGCAGGCTCCCCTATCAGTCAGTGTTTTTAAAAATACTGTCCTTTTGAACTTTCTCTAGTTGGTTTTGATCCATCCTTTCAGCCACCAGGGTTGTCTGGTGCTCTGGTCCTGGTATCCAACTCCTTCGTGCACCCTGCCAGTCTCCTGTCCCCCTTGTGAAACTGTCGGACAGATGAAAGCACAGAGCTAACGCTCTCTTTCAGTCCGACACTGACCCGTGAATAGCCCCATTTGCTTCTCTCTGGGAAGCAGGTAAATGGTTTTGAAAAAATATTCCGCTGAGCACCAACCTGCCACTCTTGTTTTTTATTATAGTAAATAAGCAGCCTGTTTCTTGGAAAGCTAACGGACAGTTGATGCATTTGTTCTAGAGAAATATTTTGGGCCCGGCTGTCCCCAAACCGATTCTTGTCCCCAGCTCCTGTTTCTCTGCTTCCTGCCTAGTAATTAATGTTGTTCTAAAATAGTGGGAAGAAACTAAAGAGGGTAATTTGCAGAAATCACTTGCACTGTAGGGGACTGATAGCTCCCTTTAAGAGGTAATTTTAGCTGTTTTCTCTGCTCCCCTCCCCCCCCCAATATTTTAGGGGTTTCTATGGTTTGAGTCAGAAATTCCAGGTTGGTATATAGGCCAGGTGATCTCTAGTTGATGGCAGTATCTCTTGCTTTATGGAGGACTGATGAGGGGAGGCTGGTGGAGGAGGTCTGCACAGGGAAGACAGTGGGGTAGGGAGGGAGAGGGGAGTCTGAACCGGATGGAGGGAAGGGAAGAGAGAGAGACTGCTAAAATTCCTTGAGCATCTATGGTACACTGGGCACAGTGCTCAGTACATCGCCCAGTCGTGGGGGGGGGGGCGGTCATTATACCCACTTTCAGATGAAGACACCAAGGCTTCTAGAGCCAATATGAGCTGCCCTATGGTCCTATGACTGGTACATGTTAGAGTCCTCATTCATACTAGCGTCTGTAGCATTCCAAAGCCTACGTTCGTCCCACCACACTGTGATGCCTCAAGGAATCTGCTTCCCCTCAAGAAGAAGGGCCATTGAGGAGTAGAGATGGAAAGAGAAACAAAACATAGGTTGAGGGAAGCGAATGAGATGAAGAGGGTCAGCAAGTTTTGAGGTTGTTGGTGGCCCTTGGCCTTCTAGGGCTGAGGACACGAAGATTTGCTGTGGCCTGTCGGAAAATGCCCATGGCCGTGTTTACTCTCCTCTGGAGCTCTGTCCTAGAGTCTGCAGAGATTCTAGGCTATCACGGGAGGGGGTAATAGGGCCGCCTACATGGCAGTTGGATTGTCACCCTGGGGTCAGATGACATCAGGTGGTGTCTCTTCAGGGTAGCTGCTCTCTCCTGCTTTTTTAGAAACAGAAGCATTTTAGGAAAGAGAGCCATAAAACCAGCATCTTTATAGCCTGCCTTATTTTCTGGTTGACTTCCATTATAAAAATCGGAGAGATTTTCAGCACAGAACTATTTCCAAAACACTAAAGTGATCCCCCCCCCCCCCCCCGCCTCCACTGGCCCCCTGGGTTTTTACTGATTCTTGTGCTGAATCTGGGCTCTTCCTCTTCCTTCCTCCCCATACTGCAGAAGCGTCTCCTATGATTGTGGCTATTTGTGTCCTGGTTGGGGGTCCCTCACCCTGAGGAGGTACTCCTTAAAGTGAGAGGTGACATGATTCCCCTTTGCGCATCCACACTACCTGAACAAAGCGATCTCTCACAATAGCATCTGAGACCTTACAAAGCAAAGCTAAGGCAGATTGGAGCTTAGCTGTCATGGCAGTAATTCACAGCATCTTCGATGTCAACTCAGATGGGCCAAGTGTCCTTAACTGTAACGGAATGGAAAGGCGGACATGGCGGCCTGGTCTTCCTCTTACAGTGGGGATCCTGTGACTTGCTGGCCATCCAAGATTTCTGGGCATATTCTTTTTAATTATGCCACGCGTCTGTCGGGGACAGAAGACAGTCGGTAATTCTGGAACGAGAGGATTTCAGAAGCCGAAATTTGGCGCCACGCCTGCGATTAGTTTGGTGACAAGAACAGTGGGGGCACGAGTTGTATTGTCCGTGGTATCGAGACTCTGGCCTTTCCCCCCACTAGCAAGCCAAATTACAGCAGCAGATGGACATGCAGAAGAACCACATCTTCCGTCTGACTCAAGGGCTGCAAGAAGCTCTGGACCGGGCGGATCTGCTGAAGACGGAAAGGAGCGATCTGGAATACCAGCTAGAAAACATTCAGGTGAGAACCGGCAGAGGGAATTTACTTAGAAATTGCCTGCGGATGCAGAGCGTCATGGCTGAAAGCCATCTGGTGAAATGATGAGAGTGATCTCTTTATACTGTGTGTTTCCCCCATATTTCATTATGAAAATTTCCAAACCTTCAGAGAAGTTAGAACATACCTGTAATGATCAGCTCTGAGATTCTAATATTTACCCCTGACTTTTTTTTTCCCCCCGTATGCGTATCCATCGATCAGTCCTTTTTTTAGTTTTGTTTTTGGCCATAAGAAAAGGAGTGAGTAAGTAAATATTGGCCCAGTGCGGTCTGTGTTGAATTTTCATAAGCTAGTACCCTCATGACTTAGTTTTTTTATTTTCTTAAAGTACCAAATTTATTTATTTTTAATTTTTTAATTTTTTAAGTTTTAGTTTATTTATTTGACAGAGAGAGAGATCACAAGTAGGCAGAGGGGCAGGCAGAGAGTGGAGTGGGGGGCGGGAAGCAGGCTCCCCACTGAGCAGAGAGCCCGAAGTGGGGCTTGATCCCAGGACCCCGAGATCATGACCTGAGCTAAAGGCAGAGGCTTAACCCACTGAGCCACCCAGGTGCCCCTAAAGTACCAAATTTATTTATTTATTTATTTATTTTTTAAAGATTTATTTATTTATTTATTTGTCAGAGAGAGAGAGAGGGAGAGAGAGCGAGCACAGGCAGACAGAATGGCAGGCAGAGGCAGAGGGAGAAGCAGGTTCTCATCAACATCTCCCACCAAGAGGGTATTCTCATTATAGTTCCTGAACCTATAGGCACACGTCATCATCCCACAGTTGACCTTAGAGCTCACTGTTAGTGTTGTGTTTATTATGGGTTTGGTCATCAACATCTCCCACCAAGAGGGTATTCTCATTATAGTTCCTGAACCTATAGGCACACGTCATCATCCCACAGTTGACCTTAGAGCTCACTGTTAGTGTTGTGTTATGGGTTTGGACAAATGTGTAAGGACCTGGACCCACCATCATAGTATCCCATGGAATATTTTCACTGCCTTACATCAGTATTTTATAAAATCTTCCCAGGCGATTCTAATGCGCAGCCCAGTTGAAGACCAGGGAAGTTCCAGGACCTTTACTCCTACTCCATTCCTCCAGCCTTAGGTGCAGTCTGGGTTCAGTACCAGCATTCTTACCATAGCTTTTTTTTTTAGGTGTGATTTTTATTTATTCTAAAAGAGAGAGAGAGAGAGAGAGAGATTCCTTTAGCACCTTTATTCTGAAGAGCTCTTAATTGCTGTGCTTAGAACCTCTAAACACTGAACATTTGTCAAGCATCAAAATAGCTATCAAAATAAAAAGAGGGACCTGGATCTCAGGAGGCGAGGAGAGCTGTCTGATGGTCTCCCATGAGTGCTGGTGGGTGGGGGGCACATATCCCCTTGATTCTGGGCCTCAATAATGAGTGACCTAGAAACGCTTTTTTTTGTTTTTTTGTTTTTTTTTTTTTTTGAATAAGCAATCAGCTTTTATACCTACAGCAATGCACTTTAAAAAGTAAATACTGCTGGATCCTGTCCTCCATTTGTTGTCAAGTTTTGGGGCCACTTCCCACCCCAACATCAAGCACCCCCTATAATCGTTCTTCTAGAAGGGGCTGTATTCAGGCGCAAAGAGCAATGGCCTCTGCTATCGTCGCTGACCCAGGTCAGGGGGTAACTTAGTGACATGTGGGTGTCTCCTGATTACTAAAGGACCGGGGACCCCGTGTGTGGATCATCCCTCCCTCCTTGGGGGGTTTGGGTCTCCTTCTCTAGCCTACTCAACACAGAGAAGTGAGGTATATAGGAAGTAGCAAAGGCAGCCCAAGGTCATGCCAAGCAACGCATTTCATTTCAGATTAAAAAGAAAAAGTGTGCATGTGTGTGGGTTTTGGCCAGATTTTAGATAGAAAATAGGCTAGTGAGAGCTCTAGAACTAGATTAAAATTCTTTGCCCAAAGTGCTGTCAAAAAATTTGTTTCTGGATTTCAATCCTTGTTGCCCATTTTTTTCTGTGAACAATCAACATTTGTTTTAATGTGAATAATAGCATGGAATACTTTCAGCCCCCCCGAGTTTTACTATTTCAAACAACTGTTCTAGGCCTGCGAGGCATGTGGTATTTATTTACACTGTTGCATGGGTTGTGATGATAGAAATGACAACGACGGTAGCCATGGTTGACATTTATTGAGCCCTTGTAATGTGCCAGGCGCTGTGCCAAGGGTGATATCCGGCTGATCTCATTTAACCCTCACAAGAACTCTTTGAAGTAGGTTGAGAATTATCTCCATTTCACAGATGAGGAGACTGAGGCTCCCTAAGTGGCAGAGTCAGATTTTGAACAGAGCAGCATGCCTCTGGGTGTCCACTGCAGCGTGGATGTAGGGAGCCGTCACTGGGGTACAGCCAGCCGGCCAGCCCTGCCGTGCCAGCCCTTGCCACTGGGCCAGGGAGAGAGGGCTAAGTTGTTGCAGGGAACAGACCTCATGTAGGCCAGGAAGTAGTTTGGGGCATCAGAAAGCAGAATTTCACTCTCTGGTAAGAAGTGAGTGCTCACCGATGACTGGCTCTCGCAACCCTGTTACCAAGGCAACAAAGATGGGCACGTGGGGCGGTGGTGGGCTCTGTCACATGTCCCTCTGAGCCCAAGAACCTCTGCTGGCTATTCCTCTCCCCTTACCCTTCACCCACCCCAGGGTTCATACCCAGGGTGCCAATCCCTGAGGGCAGCTGCCCTGAGTGAGAGGTGTCCTCTCCACCCATAACTCACTGCTTCTCGGGACGAGGCAGAGTGTGTGAGTGACATATACATGTTTGGGTAAGTGCCTCCTTTCTGTGGAGAGGGCCTCCTTCTAGCTCCCTCTCGGGAGGCCATGCTGCATTCTTTTCATGATGCCATCCTGGGCACTCTGTCAGGTGCGCCTGTCAGTCCTGACCTCCAGCTCTCCGTAGAGACCAGCAGAGATCATTTGCAACTTGGCAGCTTGCCTCATAGAATGATAGAGGATAAAGAGTTAAGACCCAGCTAGCTTCAGGCCGGAGCCCTGTGTGTAGTCCGTGCTTAGGAAGCGTACCAGTCTCTTATTGCTGCTGTAACACGTTGCCTCAAATAAGTGGCTTAAAACAGCATGAACTATATCACCTTGGAGTTTTGGATGCCAGGAATCCAAGATGGGTTTTTCTGGGCTGAAACCAGGATGTAGACAGGGCTGTGCTCTGTGGAGCCTCTAGGAGAGAATCGGGTTTCCTTACCTTTCCCAGCTTCTAGAGGCTGCCCAGATTCTTTGGTTCCGGGCCCCTTCCTCCGCCTTCAAAGCTAGCAGCGTGGCATCTTTGACTCTCTCTCTCTCTCTCTGACCCTGACCTGACTTCTGCTGTCACACTGCCTTCCCTCCTCTACTTTTGTCTCTGAAGGACCCTTGTGATAACATCACATCTGCCCAGAAATCCAAGATAATCTCCCCATCTCGGAACTCTTACCTTAGCCCCTCTGCAAAGTCCCTTTTGAGTCCCTTGACTCAATGCCAAGTAATGGATTCACAGGTTCCGGGGATCAGGACACAGACAAGTTGGGGGTGGGGGACTTACTTGGCTCACCATAATAAGCATTAGCTGGGGTTTTTGGTCTTTTTTTTTTTTTTTTTTTTAATTTTTTATTTGAGAGAGAGCAGAACGAGCGAGAACACAAGTTGGGAGAGGGAGAAGCAGACTCCCTGCAGAGCAGGGAGCCTGATGTGGGGCTCTATCCCAGGACCCTAAGATCATGATGTGAGCTGAAGGCAGACACTTAACGGACTGAGCCACCCAGCCACCTGCTTTAGCTGTTTTTATAGAACGGAACAGAAGCAAATTGGCTAGCTTGGGGCTAGAAGAACCAGTAATTTGATCAGTATTGTTACTGATGATGTTTGTTAGGCACTTGCTGTGTAAGCTCACTCTTGCCTCAGGGCCTTTGCATCTTAGTCCCCTTCCCTGGAGCATGTTTCCTTCCAGAACTTGGATGGCTAGCACCTTCTTATCCTTCAGGTCCCAGCTCAGATGTCACCACTCAGAGAGGCCCTTCCTGGTGACCCTTGCTTAGACCAAGTCCCTGACCCATTCCCTTCTCTCACACCATAGCCCCCTGCGTCCTTCTTCGGCATCATCTGTAACTTTTTGTTTGTGGGTTACCCGATGCATGCTGTCTGCGCTCTGCTCCGGGAGTGCCGGGGCCCTGGCTGTCTTGTTCATAGCTGTTCTAGTAGCTGGAACAGAGCAGGGGCACAGTGCGTATCTGTTCTGTGAGTAGGTGAAAGAAGCCAGGTAGGCACAACGCCGTGCATTTAATGCTCACGCTCCCCTCTGTGAGAGGTCCCTTCATTGTCCCATCTCACAGATACGGCAACCAGGGCCTGGAGAGGTTGAAGCGTTGCCTCAGGTCCACGGCGACTGAGTTTATACCCAGGTCAGCCAGCGTTCTTGCTTCCGTCCGCCTCTCTGCCTCGTGGCCTTGAGGTCATCAGAAGCTTCTCGAACCAGCTCTGTGGACGGCTGCAGAACCCTGGCAGGTCCTTTATCTCTGCTGCAGGTTCTGAAAGCAGCTTTTCCGAACCACCGGCTGGCCGCCTTGACGCTGGCTTTCTTCTTATCTAGGTCTGTCGTGTCAAATCTGGACTCCCCTGCCAAGACTAGCTCCATGGAAAAGAAACTTCTCATCAAAAGCAAAGAGCTGCAAGACTCCCAGGACAAGTGTCACAAGGTATTTATTTCCGCAGCCGGCCTCCCTCCTTGCTCCAGGATCCTCCCGTCAATGTACACCAAGGGAGCCGCCCAGGGCCGCTGCTGGCACTGAGCCACCTGATCCATACCGAGCGGGCGAGGCGCTACCTCCCTCGCTGAAGTCTCGCCTCCAGCAGCTCAGAGGGAGATGAATTCAGGCCTTGACGTTGCCGTCAATCCTTTAAATCTTAACCAGAGGAGGCCCTGGATTTAGAACGGCC